TGAAGCAAAAACATGTTGTTGAAGCAGGATTAAAAGGTTTGAGCAAGGGTCCTCTTTCTGAAAAGGGCTAGTGCTACAGAGTGCGGGACTGTTGATAGTGGTGCGCCGCGCGTGTGGATTTTAGTCATCTAAAGATCCATTGTGTCGTCCGCTTGAAATCCACTCTATTTTAAAGTTACCATTGAGTGTTCCGGTGGAAATAACTTTTGTCTACCTAATTTGTGCCACACAGGAAAAAGATTATTCTTATGGATAGGCAACAGGTGATTGTTTATCATGAGGTACCGATAGGCGCAAGCGTAATGCTATTTATTTGGTTGTTAAATAGTGTTAGCTATACAAAAATTTGTTTAAAGCACGCGCTGTTATCTATTTTTAAGCCACTTTGCTCGACTTTTCGATTATTATAGAGCAATAATCTACGTATTAAAGTAATGACTCCTAAAAGTGTGCACAAGAGTGTCCAAAAACTTAAAAGGATCTTATCGATAAGCGTTTTAGTGAAATTATGTGGTTTGGGATAAAAATAACGAGACGGCTCAAGTGGCTCGAAGGCAAGCAGATCAACATTCGAAATAGTGTACAAGGATATATTAGTAGGAAGGCCAGTTCGACTTATGAACGCTTTAAGATAGGTACACGCTGTCAGGAGATGAAATACCACAATTTAATAGCATTTGAAGTCACGGTCGCGTTTCAGCATTGACATTAGTCCATCAAAAAGATAGCTACTAGCCCTTCCGACGGATATTTGTGGTCAAGAAGACTTTAACGCGAGAAACTAAGTACCTCTCTTCCGGTAGCCAACCGTCTATTTATTACAGGAGATGTGGGATTGCGTGAATGTATGAGATAGCCTTAATTCCTCGACACGTATTTAACATACCGATGTAGTACAGTAATATTTTCTATCTGGTCGGGTACTGGATGAAGGCCGGCCAAGTTTGCGAAGTTCGCATAATTATTCTGTTAACGCCAATTTTGTATTACATCCTCGCTGCTAAACAGTTAGATTCACCTTAATGTTAGTACTTTTACTACACGCTGGCAACTTTATTTCAGCGACGTAAGGTGTACCAATAAAGAGTTCTCTTAGCACAGTCGTAGTGGCGTCCTTTTAGTAAATTTAACTTCAATAATCATTTACTCTCTACTGGCAAGTTTTACTCTATGTGCGAACCCCGCAGAAACCTCAAGCCTCGAACCTAGGCGCGTTTTATTTTTGTGTTATAAACCTGATTACAAAAATACTTTTAGTCCGTCAAATGCTTCCATAGATGTCCGCATCTACCAACGATGAACATAGCGCCGTTAATTCATACTCTACATACGCAATCACGTCCAAAGTAGGCGATGATTGCGCCGGCCGCGCGCGCGAATGGATACAATAGTGTTTACAATGTTGCGGCTAATCTTTGACATGGTAAACAATATGTACTTATAAACTCGTGGCGCATTTCGATGATCTTCAAATCGGGATTGAGATTTCAGACTCAAGAAGTAGTCACATAGGGACAAAAGCTAGATTTTTATTATTTACCCCAAGCTAAATATCCGCTATACTTATTTTGTGAAGACCTAGACACTAAACTCCATCATATCACCAAACAGCAGAAAAGAGGTTTTATACTTGTAACCACCGTGTTTGATACATCATGCGCTTACTTCCAAATCTCTTTAAAGACAAATAAGATATTCTCGAAGCGCATTAATGTCCCTATAATAAGTGGCCATGACCTGCCAGTGGCAAGGTATTCTTGCGGCTTCTGTATACCAGTAAGATCCTCTCAAAGACATAAATTTATAAACTCGATACGCCAATAATTAGATTAATAAAAAAAGTTACAATTTAAAATTTTTTTACCTGATAATCCATCTACTCTCATCGTGAAATAAGGAATAATCTAAAATAATTGTATTTTAGTAATGAGAAACGCCACTTAATGGCTCCTATAATGCAAAGAAACATAGCTGGTCCCTTTTTTCAGAACTGCACTGCGCTACATCACAGACTGTAGATTAAAAAAAGGGACCGCCTGGGCTTACACCCTCTAATAACTACGCGCACACCCTTCCCGTGATGTCGAATTTTGTTTTTTCCCACTAAATGCGAGCTATCCTTCATTTTATCCTATTATCTTTCTGTTCCTTGCTCTTCCGGCAATGCTAGCACCACCTCCCGAGCACACTTATCCTTCTCTTGATGTTGGCAGTAGATCGGTTTGTACTTGACCACGGCTAGGCTGTGTGGAAATCGGACTCCCATCCAGACCCTTCACAGGCGGTGAAGCACGCAAGGCCTGGCTCCATTGCTCGCACGGCCTTGAGTACAGGAAACGTCGCGAACATCTCATTGAAGGAAGTCGGAAGAGAAAGACCAGCAGCAGATATTTGAATGCCCCTGGAGCAACACTATCCAAAGATGAATTGACCGACAGAGGGATGGATGTGGCGGGTCAAGGTAGAGGAGGCTTCTCGCAACTCATGAGGCAACAGCCGATATGTCAGGCTTTACCAGCGCACGTAAAGTCACAGATCAAACGCGACAGGTAGTACAACAGACGTCCAAGGCCGGTGCAGCCTCCAAAGTTTTCATTACGACCTAACGGCAACAAGATCCGCAAATAAACCTCACCAGTAAAGACATTTCCAACGCTAAAGCCCGGCTTCGAAATGAAGATTTGAATCGCCGTACACCTCTGGAGGCCCTGCTAGACGAGCTATAGGAAAAAGAGGTCATGCATGACTATGCAAAAGACGATTAGGTTCGAATCACACACCTCTTCTTCGTTACGCCAAGTGCTGTTGATCGAACCATAGAGTTTTCCGACGTTGTATCAATGGACTCTACATACAAGACCTACAGGTGATGAGCTTCACACCTTGCCGTCTGCATTATTCAAGTCTTTAACACAGCATTTGTCTACTGGATTCAATCTCCCACTTCTCCATGTTGTTGGCATGACCAGCACCCAATGCTACATTCTCCATATGCTTTTGCTTTATGAGCGGAGAGATAGAAAAGGACTATGTTTAGGCTTTGATACGCGTGAAAGCGGTGTTTCTCTTGAACCAGCCTGGCTGGGGTGGTGGCTTTTGATTGAGAGCTGGCCTTAATGTCAGCAATTAAAATCATTCTTGGAGATGCTTTTAATCTTCTCTGCATATGGCACATCGAAAAGAACATTGTCGCCAACCTGAAGAAACATTTTCGAGCCAATGAATGGGTGGGAACGGTTGCTGGCAGACTGGCACCTTCTGGCTGCTTCGATAGATGTGGAGAGGTTTATCGCTGATTGGAAAGATCTGCAAATCTCCTACTTCGAGTAAGGACAGACCGTGGAATACCTGAGGAGCACATGGATCGTATTCAAGGAAAAGTTTGTCTTCGCATCCACCAAGCTGGTCTTGCATCTTGGTCACTTGGCTCTATTTCGCGCTGAAGGCAAACATTCTTCGAAAAAAACCATAAATTAGTGTCTCTTCAGGAGATCTTAAAGACGTGTACGAGAATATCTCCCTCTCGATCGACTGATTAAGAATAGTCGCATTCGTCAACCAGATTATCTACAACAAGATGCATTCCATGCTCGCCTTCTATCACAACATTTGGAAGGATGTCAAGCGGAAGATATCACACTTTTCTTTGAACAAGGTGTATGAACAGTTCCAAAAAGCTAAACACCGGGCTGGCGACTCCACCTGCTCCACCATTTGTCAAAGTGCGATGGGTCTTCCTTTCTCCCACAAGCTCAACCGTTTAATTGGCAACAATTTTTCGTTGGGGGCCCAACATTTCCATAGGCACTGGTGGCTTGTAAAAGCTTAAGAGCCTGAGTGCAATGGCAGTGATACTACTGCAGATGCAATGACAGATTTTACAAACGCACTGACACAGCTGCAATCTTAACACAAAACTCTTCCCCCACACCAGCAACGTCTTTTGGAAGAACAAAGTGTAGAGCTCTCCCAACAGCCGCTCACACCAGTCCACAATCCTGTGGTACTGCGAGACTAGAGGCAGACCTTTGGGTGCGGTGGCGGGGAGTAGCACAAGGTGTAATTCTTCTGCGTTTGAGTCAGTGGAAGCTAGAGCGAGAGCTCCGCGAAGATACGGAATTATGATTGTCGAGAGGAAGGACGTGACAGGCGCAATTGTCCTCATTTGAGATAGCAAACAGCTAGCAGAGTCATATAGTACATATGCATTGAGTAGTTATTACTATGTGTATTTCACATCAGAAACACGAACATGCTTTTCCCCGTCAGGTTGCAATCACTTTTAAATATGTAGCGTGAGGACTTGAATTCCGTAACGTCACGTGCAGGGGGAGTGCGCGCAGTTATATGCGGGCGCACCAATCCAAAAGCACCACACGTCATGCTGGCTCGTATGCAATACACGGCCTAACACCTGAATACGCGCCTTTCGTAAATATTCCTCTTTTTAAGTGCTAAGCTCTGTTCCCATTACGTGGCTGAAAAATGACGTTGCGCAGCGCTTAACTCGGTCAACCCGAGATATTTTCAATGTACTGAACCAGTCGCTGCTCTGAAATGCTTCCCTCTTCACCAGTGATGCCGCTGCCTTCGCTAGCAACGAACTAAAAAATTGGCTCCTCAAACTCGAAGCCGCAAAAATTATACGGAGCATTTAAAGGGGTGTAAATCACACCGTGGTCCGATACAACCTCAATAACAGTGGTGAATTCGCTCTCGCGCTTCCGGAGTATGTTTGGATAGAAAAGACAAAAACAGCACTATTTAGTATCATTTCATCCGGCCCTCCCACATAGCTCAAACACCCACGCACCGTCAGGTAATGCCTCACGTAGATACCAGGCAAAATCGAGACTGCAAACTTTCCAACCGCAGCGTCGAGATTCAGGCCGCAATGTTCGACCAAAAAACTATCAGCACCACAATTTTACTCCGTGAGTATCTGCATTCAACGCAAACAATGTCATCACTTACCGCACAACGAGAAACCCCACAAAGGTTTAGTCATCCGCCCCAAAAACAACCATATAAATGTCCTTTCCGTCGCCCTGTAAGTGGCCGAATAGCGTCTTGCAAATTGCTTGTGCCAACCCGTTGTCGTGCACCTCCGGACCCATTTCCTCATCTACATACAATCACCCAGTAACACCATTCACAAGTGACACCAACAGCCTACCATGCCAAACCATTAAAAAGAGCTCCTACATTCACTCCCGTAAACCTTCAGCTTGACTTACTGAACACCTAATTCGTTCTACTCCCTACCAGCCCATACAATTGTCCAGTCATTACCTCCCATTCCCTCACAATCACCCCCACAGCACAACCATAACCGCAACCACTTGACATCGTGCAGACACGTGTCGCTGCCTGTCGCGTCAGTTACAAGCCCCAGATTCACTACAGACCCTGAGCGCGTGCCGACAATCGGTTGCTATATCACCACCGACGGCGCGTGACTCTTTCAACTGGAAAAGATGGATCTCTTAGCTAAACAAACAGCACGGAAAAGAGCGTAAGCACGGGCCACGCCGCAGACGGGACAGCATCTCACGTACAAAGACGCGAGCGGGGCGCGCAGGTGTAAAAGCGGCGCGCTCTTGAGGCGCATCGTGTATAGCAGCGTCCGCTCGAACAGCTGCCAGCGGGCGGCGTTCCAGCGCAGCAGCTTGCGGCCGCCTGAGGAGGCGTGCTTGCGCTTGGCTGCGCGCGTGGCCGCGTCCTCGCTGTTCATGCTGTGGCTTCAACACAGTGCAAAAGAGAGTGATTTGCACGGGGCACCCTGAAGCTTGTACTGATGACAGTACAAGCTACTTATTCCGATGACAGAATAAGGCGGTGCCTCGTAACTTCACGTACACTCGTACGTGCAGAGGAAGACGGTAAGAAGAAGCGAGTACTTGGTTAAAGTAAAAAGTAGAACTGTATTTATAATAGTTAATGTCTGCAATAAATCACTATTTATCTTCATCTAACTATGTCTGAATACAAATGTGTAAATCAACTATCTGCTCACCACTCATTGCGTGCGTATGTCGTGGCGCGTCTTCATAGGTTGATACAATGGCCTATATCAACCAATTAGAAACCACTCGTAAGTGCTACAGAATATTTGTCCTTTTGACAATATTCTGAAAACATAACTCTTATAGTTATATTCTATTCACAATTTCTCATTAATTGTTATGCAACGATTCACCCCGTTACATCACCCCCCTTAACCATCAGTCACTTTAGTGACTGATTGACTAAATGGATACTCGTCCCAAATCATTTGGGACAGGGTTTGCACTTGTTGGTCTGCGTCCACTTTCCACCAGTTTCATCGCATGGTTAACAAGTCCATGCGGTGCGCGAGCAAGGCCGCCGAGAGCGCGTCTGCACGTCTCTGTGCAGACGCCGAAGCAGAAACCACAGCAACTGATGTCTCATCGGTTGCTGAAGCGACTCAGCCTGTGTCACTTGGTGATGCAGGCGCTGGTCATGAAGACACTCATGTCTTCACAGAGTATGAGCTCGGTGTCTCATACTCTCCTGATACGGAAGACGGATCCGTATCGACGGCGATCGAATCCAAGCCGCCTGCCAAGCGTGGCATGGATGATGCTATGCGTCGTAGCATCTTTGGTTCATCTGATGAATCAGATGAACCATCGCCGAAGCGAAGGCGCTCGAGGTCGCGAGACTCGGGCGCTAACAGTGGTGTCGGTTCTCCTATGGACACCACTTCGCAACGAGGTGCCAGTACTTCTGTCGGCACGTCGCAGGAAGAGCGGGACCGCAATGTGTTGCGTCTCGCTCCTGAGAAGAAGGCATGGATGCCTCCTAAATCTGTCATGGATCACTTGTCGGCGACGACGAGTGATCGTTATCGAACACGATTGTTCGATTCGTCAAGGATCCATCACCTTGACCCTAGTGCGAAAGACTATCATGCTGAGAATGAATTCGTCATCGATGCTTTCTTTAAGCATCGATGGTACAGTGGGAATCACAAACGTGATGGTCCCTCACTGCTTCAAGCGTGGAACGCCTACATCCATAACCTTGAGGATGTAGGTCGTGACGTTTGGAACGACAAACTTATCAAAGCTCGTGATAAGTTTGAAAAGCGAATTCCCGACAGGTGCACGCTACAAGCTGCATCGTCTGTCAAGGATGAAAGGGTTACCCTGTCTCCCTTGGGGAGACTCGTGCCCATGTTGTGTGAACAACTCTGCGCGCGTGCCTAAGGAGGCTTACCTCCTTAATAGCCCGTGGTGGCGCGTACGTATCTCTAGTGAGATGTACGAAGGGATTGACAACCTGAAATCCCTTTACGACCGTGCCGGGAAGACTTTCTCCGGCGGTCCTTCTGCGGCACAGGATGTGCCGCGTCGTACTGCTCAACCAGACCCAGTACGTCAATCATCAGTTGGGAGCGGGGCTCCCAAGTATCCCAGGACGGGGGATAACCGCGCCACCGGACGAGATAACTCGTCCGACGTCCGTTAACATTGCGGTGGTTCAACAGCTGCTCAACCAGATAGCGCTGGCCACCGCGAGAGTCCTCTAACGGAGGTGGAGGAGGAGGAAAGACGCTCTCCACACGATCATGTGGATCCGTGTGTTCCCGAAAGCTTCTTTGATCGCGTAACGCAAGGGTTACGCGACGATCTCGAGCATGAGCGGAATAGGCGTCTCCAAATGGCGGACACTGCCTTGAAGCATCGAGCTGCGTTTGCCTTTGCTCAGCATGAGAACGAGAGATCTCTGACATCTCTGCGTGACGAGCTAAGGGTAGCTTGTGGGGAGGTTGATCGGTCTCGGGCTGAGATAACTGTTTTTCAGACCCTTGTCGATGGCCACCATCGGGAGCACAAGGCTCTCGGCGAGATGCTTGAGCGCAAGGGCGTTCTTCATCGGAAGAAGCAGCGTACTGATGGTACGGCTTAAGCCGACCAACGTAAAACGTGAGATGCGTTCGCATCTTACGTGGTAACTCGATCGTGCATGCATTGCCTAGGCGGTGCAATACACAAAACGGGCCGATGTACTTGGGTAGAAGTTTACTGCTACCCAAGTTAGTCACTACATGCTTTGGTAGATTAACCGTAGACAGTAGGACTAAGTCACCTTTATTAAATAAAAGAGTGTTTGCCCTTCCATTCTTGTCAGCGTTTTGCTTTTGCTTATCCACCGCTTCGGCGATGGAGTCTTGCACAAAACGGACTACCGTTTCACGAGCCAGTATGAACTCATCTGATGACTCGTTAGCTTCAGTGCGCTGTGAGCGCACTGCAGCAACATCAACCTTTTCTTCAGTGAGGGCTTCCGCACTCTCACTGGCATCATCTTCTTCGATATCGATGTTATCGATATCGGCATCAAACGCAATGACCTCTTCGTCAGAGCGTGATGAGCGTGAACCAAATCGGTTTTTGCTCGCGCGAGTCCCTCCCCCTTAAACCAGAGTTACACTCTAGTAAGGTGGGTACACGCGGATGGCGTAAGCCATTCACGTAAAACGGTGTTTGGGTCGTGGACGCATGCACCGAGTTGTTGATGGCAAACTCTACCATTGGCAAAAACTCACTCCAACTCTTAAAGGAGTGTACTTATCCTCGAAGTATCTCTTCTAGGACACGATTGGCTCGTTCCGTCTGACCATCTGACTCTGGATGATCAGTTGTCGACATCTTCAAGCGCGTTCCGAGTGATTTGAACGCGGAACGCCAGAAATCAGCAGTGAATCGTGGATCTCTGTCTGATACGAGTTCACGGGGCAACCCATGAAGTCGGAAGATGGTGTCAATAAAGACACAAGCACAGCCACTTGCCGTGATTGACTCTGGTACAGCCACAAGGTGTACCATTTTGCTGAATCTGTCAACAAATACGAGAATACCCGTATTCCCGCGTGCGTCTTTGGGTAACCCAAAGACGAAATCCATTGAGATGGATTCCCAGCACTCAGCCGGAACCGGTAGAGGCTGTAAAGGTGCACGCAGTGAAGGACTTGACTTCACTCGTTGGCAGACTTCGCATGCGCGAACATACTTTCGCACAAACTGATACTGGCGGGGCCAGTAAAAGTCTCGACTTACCGTGAGATATGTTTTCTCCCGGCCACGATGTCCTCCTATAGGAGCATCGTGATACTCGAACATGATCCGCAAACGCAGATCAGTATCATCTGGAATGACAACACGTGGTGTGTCACCAGAAACGGCTGTTTAATACAGTAAACCGTTACGAGTAGTGTATCGATCTGATGCAGATCGATACGCAGGCGACAATCGTTTCAACGATTCTCGAGATGGTTGGGAGAGATGTGTCAACAACTTCACAATCTCACCATCTTGGGCGTATGCCCGCCTCACATCATCATACAACGTTGTAGATGGGACTGAGGACGTCATAACCGCAACAGTGACTGTCTCACTGTTGGGTTTCACGACTGTTTTAAAGTCGGGACGACGTGAGAGTGCATCAGCGACGACATTAAGTCGTCCTGGTTTGTACTCGACCGTAAAGTTGTATTCTGCAAAGAATGACAACCACCGCGCCATTCGTTGTGAAAGGTGCGGGCTGTTCACTGCCGTGCGTAATGACGCATGGTCAGTGTAAACAATGAAGGGTCTATCTCCTAATAGATAGACTCTGAACTTCGCGAGTGCATACTTCATGGCAAGGAGTTCCTTGTCATGCACTGGATAGTTCCGCTCAGCTGGTTGCAGCTGACGCGACTGATAGCAGACGACGCGTTCAACGCCTTCAAGATCGTACTGCATTAATGCACAGCCGATTGCGAAATCGCTGGCATCACAGACCACATGAAATGGCCTGTCCTGATCGGCTATTGCTAGGACTGGGGATTGTATCAAGCTCTGCTTAATACCCTCAAAGGAGCGCTGACATTCAGCGTTCCAAAACCACCTCTCATTCTTTTTCAACAAACGAGAGAGGTGTACAGTCATCTCGGCGTAATTGCGTGAATACTTGTGCAAATACGCCGCAAGCCCAAGAAATTTTCGAAGACCTTTGATATCAACCGGCACAGGCCAGTCGGTGATCGCCTTGATCTTTTCGGGATCAGGACGTACACCGTTCTTACCAACGATGCACCCAAGAAGCGGTATTTCGCTTGCTGCAAATACACACTTCTTGAGGTTGGCACACAATTGATACTTTCGCACGATTTAAAGAACCTGTCGGACGTGGTATCTGTGAACCTCAACGTCCGACTTTCCATCCATATCCCGACTATGGATGAATACGCCATCGTAATAACTCGGCGCGAATTCTCGTACTGGTCTCAACAGATGTGATACACATCTGTTGAACGTGGCAGGGGCATTACTAAGCCCTTGTGGCATTACTAGCCATTCCCAGAGCATGCCGCTAGGCGTGCTAACTGCGGTATAGGGTATATCCCGTTCTCGCATAAGGATTTGATAGAAGCCATCCATCAAATCCATGGACGAAAAGATGGTACTCTTTGACATACCATCAATGATTACGTCCTTCCTCGGTATCGGCGTCTGAGCCTGTACCGTTGCAGCATTCAATTTGTTGAACGCGTGCACTATCCGCCACCCTCCTGTTGCTTTTCGCACACAGAAGGTCGGAGAGCTATGTGGCGAAGTTGATTCCCTCACATGGCCCGCAGCTAAACGATCGGCAAAGAACTTGTCGATCGCAAGTACTTGTTCACGAGGCAGTGGCCACTGCTTCATGACACAGTACTTTGAGCCTGGTTTAAGCTCGACCTCGTGTCGAGTACCTTCATCCTTCGGTAATTCGCACGGATCAGTTTCAGGGAATACATCCTTGAATTCAACCAAATATTCATAAAGAGGATTTTTCTTGAGCGATTCCAACGATTGGGAGTCATATCGCTCAATTCGTGTCTTTTCATCTAGGACACTCTCGTCCATAGATGAACTACTGAGAACTCTCTCGTTCTCAGTAAACACTGTTGCTGACCTTATGTCGGTTACACACTCGTCGTCAGCGACGAGTATGCAGATCTGCTTGACTTTGCCACTACGCAGATCACGCAAGAATCTTTTATGTTCGAGCGTTGGCAACTGAGTGATCTCCGAAGTCAACTTCGGAGGCGCAATCAGATCAAGTGTATAAGCGCCTACACTTGATCCGTCATTGACTAGGACATTCAATGTCTCTGTCATTTCCTGGGGACTTATTCCCTCAGGCTTCGAAGGACTTATTCCTTCGGCTTCCCGGGGACTTATTCCCGCGGGTTTCGGGGAACTTATTTCCGCCGTATTTGTAATCTTGGGACTTATTCCCTTTACTTCCTCTAGCTGGGGCTGCGCAACCACAGCGAGATCCTCTACGAAAGACTCTCCAGTCGATCTAGGATTATCGTTTCGCTTAACCTGAGCGACCGATTGTTTCTCTTCTAGATGTTCCCCGCTAGGTATACATCTTTGTCCCGGTCCACGCGACTTATTCAAGTGGTGGACCTTTGGCGCAGCCTGTGTTTCCTCACAGCCGCCGGAACTTTGCTCCGAAGTGTGACCGTTTGTTACACTAAGGTTTTGTGCAGTCGTACTAACGACCGTACCACAAGTGAGGCCATCGCACTCACTCGTAGTACATCCACACGCTTGTGGACGCTCCAAAACGTTCATCAGATGGCCATCTGATGAACAAGCGGCAGGCATCGTTACTGTCCGATGTTGCCAGTTTACTCGTGGTTCGTACCTTCTGAGCCACGGTATTCCAAGGATGACATCAAATTTGTCATCCAAATCCAATACGATAAAGTCATCGTCATTTTGGGTATCTTCTAGCGTATAGTGGATCTTCACTATACGCTTCATGACGGTTACGGATGCGCCTGTCGCAAGACGTACCGTCATCCTCGTAGGAGGTGTGTCACATTCACTGAACTTAAAATGACCATCTTCTAGCGATTGGCGTCGCACAAAATTGTTGGACGCCCCACAATCGACTAGAGCTCGAAGGGACAACTTATTCGTCACTTCGAGTTTCAAGGTAATGAGTGAGACCTCATTACCTAGAGCAGCAACGCACAACGTTTGTGTGTTGGGAGCAACCTTCATCAAGAGGCCTACAAATTCTCTTGACGTTGCTGGACCAGTAGGGTGCTCCGCACCTACTGATCCTGTCCGTTTTTTGACGGTCCATCCCGTTGTTGCGTCTTTGCACCAACAGCGGACCCTCGTCCCTGCCCCTTTCTCATGGGTGGACGGTCACTACGCCCAGTGTTGCGAGACACTGGACGAGGGGCACTACACTCGTAAGCGTAGTGTCCTGTCTTTTGACATCTGTTGCATTTCTGCAACTTCTTGTAGCCTGTAGAGCGAGCCTTCTCGCTCTCTACATAACAGAGTTCCATCGGCTCTGGACCTCCGTTGTCATATCGTCTCGGTTGACGATATGATGTCGAGCTGGCGCGAGCCTGTCTCAGACTGAAGTCTTCCTGCTCCGCAATGGAAATGGCTTGTTCTAGTGAATCTAGGTCAAGCCGGAACAGGTGAGTCCTGACGGGACCATCCGCAAGACCCTGCATGAACACCGAAACCAACGTGTGTTCATCCACCGGATTGGAACTTATACAACTCGTGAGATGTCGTATATGTTGCGCGTAAGCGTGCGCACATCACGCTTACCCTGCTTGAGCTTCAAGAGTTCGGTTCGAGCTCTGGACTCAGCTCTAGGCGGTTCAAACGTTTGTCTGAGCCGCGACTTGAAGACTTCCAACGACCCAAACGCATATGGGTCGTGCAGCTTGAGCCCCAGTGCCCAAGTCTTGGCACGTCCTGCCAGATTTGACTGGGCAAATGCAACTTGCATATCCCCGTCGTCGATGCGACGCGCCCTTATGGCGTCATCCAATTCGACGAACCATCTCAAGAGGGAGTCCTCTTCGACTCCCCTATACTTGGAGATGTCAATCTTCAAAGTCTCGGGTCGAAGCGAGTGCATTGACCCACCAGCAGCAGCCTGCTGCTGTCTCAACAGTTCAAACTGTTAAGCACCCTGTTCTCTCAACAACTCTGCTTGTTGAGAGCCTTGTTGGTGAAGCAAGGCTTTTTTCTCGCGTTCGGCGTCGAGTTCATTTTGAATGAACTTGGCGATAGTAGCATGTTGGGCATCTCTACTGAGAGCCTCTAGCATGACGCTAACAGCATAGATGCCCATGGTCGAACACATCCGTTCAACCGCATCCCATTCGACATCGCTCAAATGGGAGTAGCAGTCACGCGTAGCGTGAAAGCTTTGGTCATCTTCATCATCCAACATATTCATGTTAGATGTGAACGTGGTCCTTGGACGGACTACGAAGTGCTACCAGGTGTAACGGGGCACCCTGAAGCTTGTACTGGTGACAGTACAAGCTACTTATTCTGATGACAGAATAAGGCGGTGCCTCGTAACTTCACGTACACTCGTACGTGCAGAGGAAGACGGTAAGAAGAAGCGAGTACTTGGTTAGAGTAAAAAGTAGAACTGTATTTATCATAGTTAATGTCTGCAATAAATCACTGTTTATCTCCATCTGACTATGTCTAAATACAAATGTGTATATCAACTATCTGCTCACCACTCATTGCGTGCGTCTGTCGTGGCGCATCTTCGTTGGTTGATATAATGGCCTATGTCAACCAATTAGAAACTACTCGTAAGTGCTGCAGAATATTTGTCCTATGACAATATTCTGAGAATACAACTCTTATATTTATATTCGATTAACAATTTCTTATAAATTGTTATGTAACGGTTCACCCCGTTACAGTGATGGTCACTTGTGGCTTCTTCCGCGCGCTAACTCTTGGTTGCTGGTCCGTGCGAGTAGAAAATAAACCTCGTTTTATAAAAACGAGAGGGTACACAGAATGATCAGACAATTACACACACGGGGGGGTGCATGCAGTAACTAGGGAGTGTACTCCTAGACAGCTCCATAAAAAACACTAAAGGTAGGTGTGAGCACAACAAACGGATATTAACAAATTGAGTACCATATTTCTAAATAGCTACACCCATCAATACACATTTTAGGGGACTCAGACCCCACAAACAGCGCTTTTGTCGGAGCAACGAAGATAGTAATAGAAATTTTGTAGTGTCGAAATGATGTCTTAATCATTTAACGCTCCACTTTGCCCATTAATTGTAACAGGGTGAGCCTGTTACATGTGATTATCTATGATACTTGTTGATTAGTATTTTGTCATAAAGTTTGAATATGATCTCGAATATATCCATAAGGGGTTATATTCAGAAACACTCACCAATTGGTTCATATGGGCCATCATATCAGCCAGCTCTAGCGGTTCGATCAACTTTGGACGCGCGCAATGAGTGGTGAGCAAGACTTTGCATACACTTATGTAGACAAATCTAATTCAGCTAGGACTTTGACATAGATACATGTATTTTGGACTTTATTATGTTTAAAATAGTTTTAGTTTCTACTCCTATTGAACGCGTCGCACACTAGCTACGTGATGTGACGCAGCGGCACTACCTGCACTGTTGTTAGTGTAGATGCGCTAGTACTGAAGCATTACTAGCGACCAGTGCCCCATTACACCCACCACTCTTTGCGTGCCTCTGTCGTGGAAAGACTTTATTGGTTGATATCTTGGTTTTATCTTATCAACCAATGAGCAATGTATCACATTCGCGAAGCAACGTTATCTACTAGGATAATATTGTGAGAATACTTTTTGTCCTAACATAATATTCATACTTGTTAATTACCGAATGTAATTTATTATGTAACGGAGGCACCCCGTTTCAGTATCGCTGGGCTGATAACCGCTCGTGGTTGTCGATTCAATCTCTCTCCCCGATTTGATGAAGGGGGCCGTTAGAATTTGAGTTACCGGGCGCACAATCATATCTGACGGCTGCTTGACAAGTTGCGTAACAAACGAAAAAGCAGTGTGCAGTTCCTCTTTGGCCTCAACGCGTCGACTATCTCAGGATATTCAGTCGCCGTTCGTTCTATATGAGTAGAAAACAATGACGAACATCGCAGTGCTGTGTGAATAAAAACCGGGCTTCCCAACCATTTTACTTTTAACAATTTTGCCCACAAGCACGCCCAGCGCTCTATGCGTAATCTCCTATTGAAGGGCTAGTCCGATCGCTGGCCTTTCGTGAAAGCTGGAGAAATAACGTTAGCGACAGCACTCTCATGGTCGCGGAACGGCGTGCACTGACTAAAACGATCAATCACGCCACTGCCTGCCATCCGTATGATCTTCTTGGCTGACTGGAAGAGGTCGAGAGTCAAAATCCAGATAAAGCATGTCCACCTTGTTTTCCACAATTCGACTGAGGGATGCTGTAGGGTGGTCGTGACATGTCTCACGTTCACTACCCGCGGACTGATAAGCTCCGTTGGCATCAGCCTATCACGACACCAGTGCGTGACCATCCATGCACAGTGCAAAGATTGTCCGATGATTACCAATGGGATGAGGATTATCCTGAGAAGCATGGAGTTCACCAACGTTTCGTGGCCTCCATCAAGAGTTCTAGTTGCGCCTTGTAGGTGGGGCAGTCTGTCCAGACCATCACTTCAAACACGATTTCCAAACTAACCAGATGGCACCAGTCGTCTCAATCTTTACCAGGCCTTCGTTATTTGACGATTTGTGCGACCAGAATGACATTCCGGACTGACAGCGCGCAGTAAAAGTCTTGCTGAAACAAAGCGTCGTAGTAAATCCGTCGCAACTGCAAATGACCCCAGGCAAAAAGTTTGATCGAAGTGGCTCGTACAGCAGACTCTCGATCGGGCGGCGGGGGTGTTCGTTGCACATCGCGGCCATTGTCGCTCGTCCAAGATGAGGGCACGCCAAATCAGCTGCCATGGCATGGTTGCCTAGTTTCTGTACTGATGGTGGAGCTAGGAAGCGCTTATCTTGTCAAGAAGAAACTGGAACAGGTCCACGAGCTTGCTAGCGGTCGGCCTCTTCCTTGGATCACTTTGGAGACAGTCTCGAATAACTGCAGACACTTTGTCTGTCATTTCACTTGATGAGGAGAGCGATGTCATTAGTGAAGCAGCAGGATACATCGGTGCACTTGTTGAGGTACTACCAAAATTGCTGCTGTCTGGCTCCGCATTAGTACCGTCCGTTTCCACACGGATGCGTAACGTGCTCATGAAAGAATGCACTACGGCGTTGTGCTCTTCGTGCTTCTGGACGGTACTGGCAGTCCTAGGTGGGGCCAGCTCATCTTCATTGGCTGTTCCGGTTTTTGCTTCGTTGGCACCATCGACAATGAGCCGCAACTTTTTCGTCCGAATTCGGGCCTTGAGCTCATCGTTCGGTTCGTCATTCCGAAAAAAAATGTACTTGTGAAACCACAACTCCAGCAGCAAAATCCCAACACTATAAATATCGACGTGAATGTTACGTGAGCGGTGATGTACCACCTCCGGTGCCGTGAGCGGCAGTGCTGAGCCAACCTGGTTTTGATAGTCGATTTTCTCCGGCCGAAGAAACCGAACACCTTCCAAGTTCGCCCCGTTCTCGGAATCATTCTCATCTGGATCGGATTCCTGACTCGCCTGACTTTCGACGAGAAGGACACGCGTCGCGAAATGTTTGCCACCTCGTCCGTGGTGACGAGCGTCGCCAATTTTGCATCGGTACGATTCCGAGACCATAACATTTCGACTCCGCAGATCACTGTGGGATATACGCATACTGTGCATGTACGCAAGCGCCTTGCAAACATCCAAAACCATCTGAACGCACACTGTCAGCAGTGACTTCGACATTCCAGTCACCACACCATGTGATGGTGTGGTTTCGTCGTTCCCTCTCCGCCCGTTATCCGTTGGTAATGACACTGTCATACGGGCCATCGAGGGAGTGCATCCGTGAAGACGGCTCAGCCCGTCTACCTCAAGTATGGCTGCCAGGTCACCGCCCTTTACGTACTCGGAGATTACGCACAGGTGCTCGGGGTTTGACCACATCGTACCCAGACAAGTAACAATATTGGGGTGATGCAGCATGCTCACCAGCTCGACATCTTTAATAGTGTCAGCGAGTTCCTTGACCTCAAAGCGCAGTGTCATCATGCGCTTCACAACCACTTGCGTACCGCAGTAGTCTCCCAGAAAGACCTCACCGTGATAACTGCGACTGAGAATCCGGTGCATATGAAACGTTTCCCACTCAACATCATTCCATTCACTTCTTGCCTCTCGCGTATCTGCAGGAAGCGCGCGCCAGCGTTTTTCTTTTCGGATCTGGAAATAATCTCGCAAAGTGATTAACACCACATCTTTCGTTTCATCCGGGAGATCGTAGATGCGCACTGGCATCTTGCCGTGCTCGGATGTATCTTCATCGACATCGCCATCAAGTAGCGAGCTGGTTAAACTTGCGGGCTCAGCCAGCTGATACATCATGAGTCCCATGCGCCAGTCGTTCAGCGCCTCTTGCTCCTTAATGTTCATATTGCGCTTGCGCTTTGAGCTTTTCATGATGATATACAGCAAAAGCTTGCTACCGAAAAGCATCGCCGGCATTGCAATTCCTATCGAAAACGTGACCCAGCACGAAATATTGCACTCAAACTCTTTGCACATTGTGCGGCCATACACCAGGTCTGACGAGTACGGACAGTACAAGCACTCAGTTGCACCATCTTCCACAGAGTAAGCACGAGATGATACCTCACTGCAGTTCATACAAGTTCCTGTGGCATTGTCATGAAAAGTACCGGCAACACACTGGATACAGCCGAAAAGGTTCGCACGATTGGCAGATTCGATTTCCGAAGAAGATGACAGATTGAGCTCCTCAAAGACACTGCCTTTCGGACAATCATTGCGCATCTCCAGATCCGATGACCAGCCAATACCAGGATTGTTTGATACAGTGCTGAAGATAGGAAACAGCCGAAGCAAACGGTGAGTTCTCAATAACAGCAGCATCCGGCGACAGCTGATATAGCTTTATGAAGCACATCCACTACGTCCTTACACGTTTGTGCGCAACTTTTTCACAAGGGCTATGAAGTTCGTACTGGGAATGGAAGTGATGAGGTTGGAGTCAAAATTCCTACAACAGCAATGCTCATCATTAGACAATGTAGAGCAACACGCTTCGAGCTGTTACGCCTTCTGATCCGTTGAGCAACATGGTCCCGAACACTATGTACGTACATTGCCTTAATAGTTGACATGATCGGGTCAAACACGGCAGCGCTGAAGTGGACGACACGATTGTTGCTTAGATCCCTGCACGGTCAGCCCACCACCGTTTGCAATACATTTCTGGCTGTGAACTTCCCAATAAAAAACAAAGTAGCATCCAAAATGGAACATACAACGTCACGAGTCCGGTATAAGGAGCGAGCGCATCATTAGTCGAGATCGACCATAGGTAGTTACGGCTCAGATTTCTAAGTTATACACAACAGCATCATTAATTCCGCAGAGGACGCAAACTCACAAAGCAGCCACTACGTACAGATGCAGCAGGCGTGACGCCTCGAAGTTATCAGGCAAGCCAGGCATGAGATCCATCATGTTGTCTTGAAGCTCTAAGCGCTCGAGATTGGTCGGAAAAGACGACAGTGTCAGTCGGTGAATGTTATTAGCGTCCAGCCTGAGGTTCTTCAGCCCGTCTACGCCCTCAAACGCATCTTCATCGATAACCGAGATGACGTTGTCGCTCAAGTTCCTGTCAGGTGTAACAACAGTTCGTCAAAACCGTTTACCATAATTTCAATAGCCTAACGCAGACGAAAATTCACGCCTCTTCCTGTTATTCTGACAATGTTCTGAGAGCCGACATTCCCGCAAATGCTCTCGATTTGATCGTAAAGATGCTGTTGGATGCCAGTCGGAGCTCGTTAATGTTGGACGCGCCAGCCATGGCCCCCTCGTCGATTTCCATCAATGCGTTATAATCAAAAGAGCTGTATTCACGACTAAGTCAGGAGCAATCCAAGAGCTACTTTCAAATGGGATCAACGCTACCCACGTACATGTAGCCTTTAGCAACAGCCTTTCGAATACCAGAAGGTAAGTCTACAATTTCGTTATGTGAAAAGTCTAGTGCTTTCCACGAGGTTGACGCCGTAAGCAGACCGGTTGGAACCGACGTCAGCTCGTTGTAGCTAACATCCAGCGTATGCAACGCCGGCGAGTTGACGAACGCATCACCACGAACAGCTGACACATTATTCCGTTGTAAATAACTGGACAGCTCAAAACGTTTTGAGTTAGTAGTTCCCCTTGGCAACGAGCAGTCGTTTCTTCAACACTCACATCGACTCGAGCTTCGGCAAGTTCACAAACGCTCGCGATTCAACGACACGGACAGTGCTTTGGTCGAATACCACGGTAGAAAGCAACGGACAGTCATTTGCAAGACCTGTGGGTATCGTTGTAATCTCTGTATTCGTGCACCTACAAGGTGCGACGCAACAAAACGCAAACACACGTGAGCAAAACGGTATAAATTGTCTGCATCTCTACAACCAGCAAACTTCAGCGACGAAAACGAACCTGACTTTTTGTAGACGCGGCATGTTGGCAAACGACCGTGTGTGCAGTTCTGTCAACGGATTATTCGAAATGTCGCTACGAATGCATCGCCAATCATAAAAAATGATGATAAATAACACAAATGCGCAGCATCAAGGACACCCTCTTAATTCTAAAAGCACAAAACGAAAACAACGGCATTTAAATCGACATAATAACTGACATGTTCACGACATTGTGTGCGGCATGAAAGAGTGCGACAGGGACATTCGTCAGCGTGTTGTTCTGCAAAAACAGAACTGTCTCTTGACCGAGAGCAGCAGCAGATACGGTCTTAACAACGCTATCATCACTGCAAAAGCGAAAAGTGAGGCTTTTGTCCAATGGATCTACTAGAGACTTGATGTGTGTAAGCTGCTGCCCAGCGAGGTTCAAGCTACACCACAAGCAAGAAATTGCAAGGCGATTGAGAGCTGAGATGCCAAAAAGAGATGCGTTGATGATCGATCACGTACCATGAGATCGTTCTGGAGGCGACTACAAGCGACAGAAGATGCAGCGCGCGCCACTTCATTCGGCAAGCGGAGCCGGACGGAATATTCACGATCGAAGTGTGAAAATGTGTGGCAAAACCAACTGCGAGCTATTTCAGTACAAAGCATTTCGTTTAAAACGTTTGTTTGATTGATTGATCGTTTGAGTAGGGTACAGTGTGTGTTTGATTCTTAGTCATTGTTTTTTTCGTTGACGGCTTGACGCTGTGTTCCGCTATCATGTTTCATCAACCACGACAAATGGAAACTGAACTCCACGGCTACTCGGTACGTAAAGTCAGTCGGTAGTATACAAGCAAGTGTACTCCAAGCCAATTCGTGCTTCGAAGGTAGTTGGAACTATTTCTCGTCTCATGTACGCTAATTCTTCTATTTGTGTCTTTTATCCCGTATTTGTTGCTCGGACTGCGTGTGACCAAGTAGGTGGAATTCAGTCCATTCGTAGATAACCTCATTGCCGTCGCAACTGCGCAGTACTTTGGAATCGTGGGCAATGGACGTCAACTTGTGGTTGAGCTGCTACCGACGGGAAGTCTTTGTCCGGTGAGGAATGCGCACGGTGTTGAACCTAGGAAATGCGGAAAACATGACTGGAGGCAGGTGAAATACTTACAACATGTGCTCTAGATACGAGCGTTCGACACTCCGCAGGGCGTGTACGACTGTGCGTGGAGTGAGAACCACGGACAGCAACTTGTGAGCTCCTGTGCTGACGGGTCAGTAAAGCTCTGGCATTTGCAAACACGCGATGAGTTCCCTATACAGAACTACCACGAGCACAAGCAAGAGGTGTCTGGAGTGAATTGGAACTTGATTGCAAAAGACTCGTTCGCGTCGGCCTCGTGGGATGGCAGCGTCAAGGTCTGGAGACCAGAAGTGCCACATTCCGTACGCACTCTTGCGGAACACACAAGTGCTGTATACAATGCAGTTTGGAACACGCAGAATAACTCACTTGTCGCTTCGTGTTCGGGAGATGGCACCGTGAAGATCTGGGACCTCAATTGTGCGCGCTCAGTCACCACAATCACTGGACAACATGGCAGCGAGGTGCTTGCTCTCGACTGGAACAAGTACAACCAGTATGAACTCGTGTCCGGATCGGCTAATAGCTCAATTACTGTCCATGTGCGTGAATGTCGAGGTTAGTTTTGATCGCGTACCTCTAACACGTTGTTGTGTTTATCGTGCTCTTGCAGGACATTCGACATTCAGGCCGTGAGGTGCGATTGCTCTCAGGACATAACTACGCGGTGAAGAAGATCAAATGCTCGCCATACGACCAAGACGTGGTCGCGTCCGTGTCATATGACATGACGGTCGGGATCTGGAATACGAAGTCTCCATATCCGAGACTTCAGAACGCGCAACACCACAGTGAATTCGTGTGTGGGTTTGACTTTAGCCTCTTTGTAGATGGTCTAGTGGCATCGTGTTCGTGGGACCGACGGATGGTCGTATGGAACTACTTTGGCGGACCGCCACGGTCGGCGTTACCATAAATCGTAGCTCAACAAGTGTGCATTTGTCATTCGGTAGTAGTGGCCGTCGAGCGATGTATTGGGGCGTTGACGATCAAAGAGGAACACAATACTGTTTTGCCAAGGGACTTTTTGGCTCTACAATGTAAGCTCCAAGGAGGCAAGTGTTAGGACAAGTGGCGGGTGTGTCCATTTGGCATGCGCTAAATCGTAGCGGAGGACAAGCCTCGTCGCAACCTCTTCTTCGTATCACGCATTCCGGTGGTATCAACAGCCATCTGTCATTTCAACCGTATTACACACGAGTCGGGTCATGTCTGTCTTACGATGTCGAACTGTCGATGTCAATCTGTAGATGTCGATCCATCAGGGTTTTGATCAGTCTGTGCTAACTCCCCGCCTAAGGCAATGAACGCAACAGGAATAAATGCGGCTGAATACACCACTCAGTCATCACGCCTTTGCAAACGGTTCCACTGCCATTTCAAAGTAAAGTGAAAATAGTACGAACTTGCTAAGGTGCTGCAACCTGTCGAAAGTGATACTACTATTCGCAAAGCACGGCGGCAGAACAAGTCAGCGTAATTTTTAGCATAGCACGACCTTAATGACTAGTTGTAACGGGGTTACACTAAAAGTTGTGATAACCAGGTACATTGGTGTGGTACGCACAGAAAGAGATCAGTGTCACTGAAAACGCGAGCTTTTGCATCACATGCGCTAAGCGATCATAACGTATGGTATCGATGATGATTAGAGGATATCTGTAACGGGGCACCCTGAAGCTTGTACTGGTGACAGTACAAGCTACTTATTCTGATGACAGAATAAGGCGGTGCCTCGTAACTTCACGTACACTCGTACGTGCAGAGGAAGACGGTAAGAAGAAGCGAGTACTTGGTTACAGTAAAAAGTAGAACTGTATTTATAATAGTTAATGTCTGCAATAAATCACTATTTATCTTCATCTAACTATGTCTAAATACAAATGTGTAAATCAACTATCTGCTCACCACTCATTGCGTGCGTCTGTCGTGGCGCGTCTTCGTCGGTTGATATAATGGCCTATATCAACCAATTAGGAACCACTCGTAAGTGCTGCAGAATATTTGTCCTTATGACAATATTCTGAGAATATAACTCTTATAGTTATATTCTATTAACAATTTCTTATAAATTGTTATGTAACGGTTCACCCCGTTACATCACCCCCCCTTAACCATCAGTCACTTTAGTGACTATTTGACTAAATGGATACTCGTCCCAAATCATTTGGGACAGGGTTTGCACTTGTTGGTCCGCGTCCACTTTCCAACATCTCATCGCATGGTTAACAAGCCCATGCGGTGCGCGAACAAGGCCGCCGAGAGCGCGTCTGCACGTCTCTGTGCAGACGCCGAAGCAGAAACTACAGCAACTGATGTCTCATCGGTTGCTGAATCGACCCAGCCTGTGTCACTTGGTGATGCAGGCGCTGGTCATGAAGACACTCATGTCTTCACAGAGTACGAGCTCGGTGTCTCGTACTCTCCTGATACGGATGACGGATCCGTATCGACGGCGATTGAATCTAAGCCGCCTGCCAAGCGTGGCATGGACGATGCTTTGCGTCGCAGCATCTTTGGTTCATCTGACGAATCAGATGAACCATCGCCGAAGCGAAGGCGCTCGAGGTCGCGAGACTCGGGCGCTAATAGTGGTGTCGGTTCTCCTATGGACACCACTTCACAGCGAGGTGCCAGTACTTCTGTCGGCACGTCGCAGGAAGAGCGGGACCGCAATGTGTTGCGTCTCGCTCCTGAGAAGAAGGCTTGGATGCCTCCAAAATCTGTCATGGATCACTTGTCGGCGACGACGAGTGATCGTTATCGAACACGGTTGTTCGATTCGTCAAGGATCCATCACCTTGACCCCAGCGCGAAAGACTATCACACTGAGCATGAATTATTCATCGATGCTTTCATTAAGCATCGATGATACAGTGGGAATCACAAACGTGATGGTCCCTCACTGCTTCAAGCGTGGAACGCTTACATCCATAACCTTGAGGATGTAGGTCGTGACGCTTGGAACGACAAACTTATCAAAGCTCGTGATAAGTTTGAAAAGCGAATCCCCGACAGGTGCACGCTACAAGCTGCATCGTCTGTCAAGGGAGAAAGGATTACCCTGCCTCTCTTGGGGAGACTCGTGCCCGTGTTGTGTGAACAACTCTGCACGAGCACCTAAGGAGGCTTACCTCCTTACCAGCCCGTGGTGGCGCGTACGTATCTCTATTGAGATGTACGAAGGGATTGACAACTTGAAATCCCTTTACGACCGTGCCGGGAAGACTTTCTCCGGCGGTCCTTCTGCGGCACAGGATGTGCCGCGTCGTACTGCTCAACCAGACCCAGTACGTCGATCATCAGTTGGGAGCGGGGCTCCCAAGAATCCCAGGACGGGGGATAGCCGTGCCACCGATCGAGATAACTCGTCCGACGTCCGTTCACGTCGCGGTGGTTCAACAGCTGCTCAACTAGATAGCGCTGGCCACCGCGAGAGTCCTCTAATGGAGGTGGAGGAGGAGTAAAGACGCTCTCCACACGATCATGGGGATCCGTGTGTTCCCGAGAGCTTCTTTGATCGCGTAACTCTTGCGTTACGCGGCGATCTCGAACATGAGCGGAATAGGCGTCTCCAAATGGCGGACACTGCCTTGAAGCATCGAGCTGAGTTTGCCTTTGCTCAGCTTGAGAACGAGAGATCTCTGACATCTCTGCGTGACGAGATAAGGGTAGCTCGTGTGGATATTGATCGGTCTAGGCTGAGATAACTGCTCTTCAGACCCTTGTTGATATCCACCATCGGGAGCACAAGGCTCTATGTGAGATGCTTGAGCGCAAGGGCGTTCTTCATCGGAAGAAGCAGCGTACTGATGGTACGGCTTAAGCCGACCAACGTAAAACGTGGGATGCGTTCGCATCTTACGTGGTAGCTCGATCGTGTATGCGTTGCCTAGGCGGTGCAATACACGAAATGGGCCGATGTACTTGGGTAGTAGTTTACTGCTACCCAAGTTAGTCACTACATGCTTTGGTAGATTAACCGTAGACAGTAGGACTAAGTCACCTTGATTAAATAAAAGAGTGTTTGCCCTTCCATTCTTATCAGCGTTTTGCTTTTGCTTATCCACCGCTTCGGCGATGGAGTCTTGCACAAAACGGACTACCGTTTCACGAGCCAGTATGAACTCATCTGATGACTCGTCAGCTTCAGTCCGCTGTGAGCGCACTGCAGCAACATCAACCTTTTCTTCAGTGAGGGCTTCCGCACTCTCACTGGCATCATCTTCTTTAGTGAGGGCTTCCGCACTCTCACTGGCATCATCTTCTTCGATATCGATGTTATCGATATCGGCATCAAACGCAATGACTTCTTCGTCAGAGCGTGATGAGCGTGAACCAATTCGGTTTTTGCTCGCGCGAGTCCCTCCCCCCCTTAAACCAGAGTTACACTCTAGTAAGGTGGGTACACGCGGATTGCGCAAGCCATTCACGTAAAACGGTGTATGTGTCATGGACGCATGCACCGAGTTGTTGATGGCAAACTCTACCATTGGCAAAAACTCACTCCAACTCTTAAAGGAGTGTACGTATCCTCGAAGTATCTCTTCAAGGACACGATTGGCCCGTTCCGTCTGACCATCTGACTCTGGATGATCAGATGTTGACATCTTCAAGCGCGTTCCGAGTGATTTGAACACGGAACGCCAGAAATCAGCAGTGAATCGTGGATCTCTGTCTGATACGAGTTCACGGGGCAACCCATGAAGTCGGAAGATGGTGTCAATAAAGACACAAGCACAGCCACTTGCCGTGATTGTCTCTGGTACAGCCACAAGGTGTACCATTTTGCTGAATCTGTCAACAAATACGAGAATACCCGTATTCCCGCGTGCGTCTTTGGGCAACCCGAAGACGAAATCCATTGAGATGGATTCCCAGCACTCAGCCGGAACCGGTAGAGGCTGTAAAGGTGCACGCAGTGAAGGACTTGACTTCACTCGTTGGCAGACTTCACATGCGCGAACATACTTTCGCACAAACTGATACTGGCGGGGCCAGTAAAAGTCTCGACTTACCGTGAGATATGTTTTCTCTCGGCCATGATGTCCTCCTATAGGAGCATCGTGATATTCGAACATGATCCGCAAACGGAGATCAGTATCATCTGGAATGACAACACGTGGTGTGTCACCAGAAACGGCTGTTTAATTCAGTAAACCGTTACGAGTAGTGTTTCGATCTGATGCAGATCAAAATGCAGACGACAATCGTTTCAACGATTCTGGAGATGGCTGTGAGAGATGTGTCAACAACTTCACAATCTCACCATCTTGGGCGTATGCCCGCCTCACATCATCATACAACGTTGTAGATGGGACTGAGGACGTCATAACCGCAACAGTGACTGTCTCACTGTTGGGTTTCGCGACTGTTTCAAAGTCGGGACGACGTGAGAGTGCATCAGCGACGACATTAAGTCGTCCTGGTTTGTACTCGACCGTAAAGTTGTATTCCGCAAAGAATGACAACCACCGCGCCATTCGTTGTGAAAGGTGCGGGCTGTTCACTGCCGTGCGTAATGACGCATGGTCAGTGTAAACAATGAAGGGTCTATCTCCTAATAGATAGACTCTGAACTTCTCGAGTGCATACTTCATGGCAAGGAGTTCCTTGTCATGTACTGGATAGTTCCGCTCAGCTAATTGCAGCTGACGCGACTGATAGCAGACGACGCGTTCAACGCCTTCAAGATCGTACTGCATTAATGCACAGCCGATTGCGAAATCGCTGGCATCACAGACCACATGAAATGGCCTGTCCTGATCGGCTATTGCTAGGACTGGGGATAGTATCAAGCTCTGCTTGATACCATCAAAGGAGCGCTGACATTCAGCGTTCCATAACCACCTCTCGTTCTTTTTCAACAAACGAGAGAGGTGTACAGTCATCTCGGCGTAATTGCGTGAATACTTATGCAAATACGCCGCTAGCCCAAGGAATTTTCGAAGACCTTTGACATCAACCGGCACAGGCCAGTCGGTGATCGCCTTGATCTTTTCGGGATCAGGACGTACACCGTTCTTACCAACGATGCACCCAAGAAGTGGTATTTCGCTTGCTGCAAATATACACTTCTTGAGGTTTGCATACAATTGATGCTTTCGCATGATTGTAAGAACCTGTCGGACGTGGTACCTGTGGACCTCAACGTCCGACTTTCCATCCATAGCTCGACTATGGATGAATACGTCATCGAAATAACTCGGCGCGAATTCTTGTACTGGTCTCAACAGATGTGATACACATCTGTTGAAAGTGGCAGGAGCATTACTAAGCCCTTGTGGCATTACTAGCCATTCCCAGAGCATGCCGCTAGGCGTGCTCACTGCGGTATAGGGTATGTCCCGTTCTCGCATAAGGATTTGATAGAAGCCATCCATCAAATCCATGGACGAAAAGATGGTACTCTTTGACATACCATCAATGATTACGTCCTTCCTCGGTATCGGCGTCTGAGCCGGTACCGTTGCAGCGTTCAATTTGTTGAACACGTGCACTATCCGCCACCCTCCTGTTGCTTTTCGCACACAGAAGGTCGGAGAGCTATGTGGGGAAGTTGATTCCCTCACATGGCCCGCAGCTAAACGATCGGCAAAGAACTTGTCGATCGCAAGTACTTGTTCACGAGGCAGTGGCCACTGCTTCATGACACAGTACTTCGAGCCTGGTTCAAGCTCGACCTCGTGTCGAATACCTTTATCCTTCGGTAATTCGCACGGAACAGTTTCAGGGAATACATCCTTGAATTCAACCAAATCTTCATAGAGAGGATTTGTCTTGAGCGATTCCCATGATTGGGAGTCATATCGCTCAACTCGTGTCTTTTCATCTAGGACACTCTCGTCCTTAGATGAACTACTGAGAACTCTCTTGTTCTCAGTGAACACTGTTGCTGACCTTATGTCGGTTACACACTCGTCGTCAGCGACGAGTATGCAGATCTGCTTGACTTTGCCACTACGCAGATCACGCAAGAACCTTTTGTGGTCGAGCGTTGGCAACTGAGTGATCTCCGAAGTTAACTTCGGAGGCGCAATCAGATCAAGTGTACAAGCACCTACACTTGATCCGTTATTGACTATGACATTCAATGTCTCTGTCATTTCCTGGGGACTAATTCCCTCAGGCTTCGAAGGACTTATTCTTTCGGCTTCCCGGGGACTTATTCCCGCGGGTTTCGGGGAACTTATTTCCGCCGTATTTGTAATATCAGAACTTATTCCCTTAACTTCCTGTAGCTGGGGTTGCGCAACCACAGCGAGATCCTCTACGAAAGACTCTCCAGTCGATCTAGGATTATCGTTTCGCTTAACCTGAGCGATCGATTGTTTCTCTTCTAGATGTTCCCCGCTAGGGATACATCTTTGTCCCAGTCCACCCGACTTATTCGAGTGGTGAACCTTCGGCGCAGCCTGTGTTTCCTCACAGCCGCCGGAACTTTGCTCCGAAGTGTAACCGTTTGGTACACTAAGGTTTTGTGCAGTCGTACTAACGACCGTACCACAAGTGAGGCCATCGCACTCACTCGTAGTACATCCACACGCTTGTGGACGCTCCAAAACGTTCATCAGATGGCCATCTGATGAACAAGCGGCAGGCATCGTTACTGTTCGATGTTGCCAGTTTACTCGTGGTTCGTACCTTCTGAGCCACGATATTCCAAGGATGACATGCAATTTGTCATCCAAATCCAATACGATAAAGTCATCGTCATATTGGGTATCTTCTAGCATATAGTGGATCTTCACTATACGCTTCATGACGGTTACGGATGCGCCTGTCGCAAGACGTACCTTCATCCTCGTAGGAGGTGTGTCACACTCACTGAACTTAAAGTGACCATCTTCGAGCGATTGGCGTTGCACAAAATTGTTGGACGCCCCACAATCGACTAGAGCTCGAAGGGACAACTTATTTTTCACTTCGAGTTTCAAGGCAATGACTGAGATCTCATTGCCTAGAGCAGCAACGCACAACGTCTGTGTGTTGGGAGCAACCTTCATCAAGGGGCCTACAAATTCTCTTGACGTTGCTGGACCAGTAGGGTGCTCCGCACCTACTGATCCTGTCCGTTTTTTGACTGTCCATCCCGTTGTTGCGTCTTTGCACCAACAGCGGACCCTCGTCCCTGCCCCTTTCTCATGGGTGGACGGTCACTACGCCCAGTGTCGCGAGACACTGGACGAGGGGCACTACACTCGTAAGCGTAGTGTCCTGACTTTTGACATCTGTTGCATCTCTGCAACTTCTTGTAGCCTGTAGAGCGAGCCTTCTCGCTCTCTACATAACAGAGTTCCATCGGCTCTGGACCTCCGTTGTCATATCGTCTCGGTTGACGATATGATGTCGAGCTGGCGCGATCCTGTCTCAGACTGAAGTCTTCCTGCTCCGCAATGGAAATGGCTTGTTCTAGTGAATCTAGTTCAAGCCGGAACAGGTGAGTCTTGACGGGACCATCCGCAAGGCCCTGCATGAACACCGAAACCAACGTGTGTTCATCCACCGGTTTGGAACTTATACAACTCGTGAGGGGTGTCGTATATGTTGAGCGTAAGCGTGCACATCACGCTTACCCTGCTTGAGCTTCAAGAGTTCGGTTCGAGCTCTGAACTCAGCTCTAGGCGGTTCAAACGTTTGTCTGAGCCGCGACTTGAAGACTTCCAACGACCCAAACGCATATGGGTCGTGCAACTTGAGCCCCAGTGCCCAAGTCTTGGCACGTCCTGCCATATTTGACTGGGCAAATGCAACTTGCATTTCCCCATCGTCGATGCGACGCGCCCTTATGGCGTCATCCAATTCGACGAACCATCTCAAGAGGGAGTCCTCTTCGACTCCTCTATACTTGGAGATGTCAATCTTCAAGGTTTCGGGTCGACGCGAGTGCATCGGCCCACCAGCAGCAGCCTGCTGCTGTCTCAACAGTTCAAACTGTTGAGCACCCTGTTCTCTCAACAACTCTGCTTGTTGAGAACCTTGTTGGTGAAGCAAGGCTACTTTCTCGCGTTCAGCGTCAAGTTCATTTTGAATGAACTTGGCGATAGTAGCATGTTGGGCATCTCTATTGAGAGCCTCTAGCATGACGCTAACAGCATGGATGCCCATGGTCGAACCCATTCGTTCAACCGCATCCCATTCGACATCGCTCAAATGGGAGTAGCAGTCACGCGTAGCGTAAAAGCTTTGTTCATCTTCATCATCCAACATATTCATGTTAGATGTGAACGTGGTCCTTGGACGGACTACGAAGTGCTACCAGGTGTAACGGGGCACCCTGAAGCTTGTACTGATGACAGTACAAGCTACTTATTCTGATGACAGAATAAGGCGGTGCCTCGTAACTTCACGTACACTCGTACGTGCAGAGGAAGACGGTAAGAAGAAGCGAGTACTTGGTTAAAGTAAAAAGTAGAACTGTATTTATAATAGTTAATGTCTGCAATAAATCACTATTTATCTTCATCTAACTATGTCTAAATACAAATGTGTAAATTGATTATCTGCTCACCACTCATTGCGTGCGTCTGTCGTGGCGCGTCTTCGTTGGTTGATATAATGGCCTATATCAACCAATTAGGAACTACTCGTAAGTGCTACAGAATATTTGTCCTTATGACAATATTCTGATAATATAACTCTTATAGTTATATTCTATTAACAATTTCTTATAAACTGTTATGTAACGGTTCACCCCGTTACAATATCTATCGTATAGGGTCTCTAGAGTACGGCGTAGTTCTGATGTAGTACACAAGAATAACTTCAATTAGGACTATTCGATTAGGTAGCATAGTTTCAAGGTTGATTACGTAAGTGAGGGTTGTCATCGCAATCAATCTGTCAATACGTTCAGTTCCCCTTTTGATCAGTTCCAGATGCGTGTCTTTCTAAGACATCTGTGATTGTAAGAGTTGAAAGCCTGTATGAAGGCCAGTACTCTTAGACATTAGTACCACGTGATTCCTTGAAGTCGTTAGTCCCCTGAACTAGGACTAGAAGCTTGTGAGCTTGTTCAGATATTTGGAGTTTAGTCTCACTTAGTTTGTCAAGACTTGAGACCCTTTAGATTAAATACTCGCTGAGTTTAAAACACTAGGAGACTACAAGTCTGTGAGTATTCTTCTGACAAAGGAGGTAGGATAGATCCGCTACAAAATTGATGTCCAAATTGTGGCTAAAAAGAAAGACCTTTAAGAAATCTTCATACTACTGCCTATTGGCGAGATGAAACGTGATGCACCAATTATTTTCGAAAGCGAATTGATCGTCTACAAGAACCGGATGCAATATATTTGTCGTGTCGTCCTAAACGAAGAATAATGCAGCAAATATACCGACGAAGCTGCCGTGAAGCTGCTGGTCAAAAGAGAACTGGAAGAGCCAATTAAATTCCTCCAAGGACTTTAAGGCGACACAGGCTTCTAGGTTTGCTTTTATACTGTAACGGGGTGAACCTGCTACATGTAATTAACCTGTGATACTTGCCAATTTAATTCTACATTGAAAGCTGACAATTTCTTGAGTATTACCACAAGGGGCAATTTGAAAAAACGTTCACCGATGGACTGATATAGGTCATTATATCAGTCAGATCTAGCGATCCGATCAACTATAGACACGCGCAACGAGTAATGAGCAAGACTCTAGTACATAAATTCGCAGATTAGATAAATAAGTTGGGACTAAACGTAAGTTAATGATTAGAACTTAAATAAATTTGATACAGTTTTTCTTTTAACCAGCAACTAGACAGTTCCTAGTTGACTTCTTCTCCTCTGCGTAGTTAAAGGGGTAGCGAAGTACCAATCACGCTGCTGTCGGTGAGAGTATCTACACACTGGTTGTCTAGTGTATTGCTCGGTGCCTCTTTACATTGAGAATATTCGTTCAGACCACATAAGTAACGTGAATCGCGCTTGTATCACTTAATTACGGTACTTGACGAATAAACGAGTTCTGTATTAAGTTAACTCTCCTTTCATTTTTTAATGTGGTAGGCAAACATTTCATACTAGTAACTGATGTTTTGTCGGACCCTCACACTTGCCTCGAAATTACGTGACGTATCTGCGTTTTGGACAACAAGACAATGAATTTCAAAGCTAGTCACTTTCTACAAGAGCTTAACGTACGCATCGAATCGGATGCTGCTTCGATCTAGTGCACTTTACTATCATCCAACGTGGAGGAGAGGCGATGAATGCGTTTCTGTCGGCGGCGGTAACCTGGCGACAACGAGATTGCATGCGTTTACTACGGTAGAGTTGTCGTGTGTCGAAAGAAGGGCCCTCAAAAATGGAATATAATCTATATCTCTGCTAAGGCGATACCTCACAAGCTAGCAATATGTACATCAGTGAAAGGTCTAGCCCCTCCTCTCCCTAAATGGATTCCCTTTCCGTACCCAAAGACCGAGTAATTGAATTCAACACGCGTGGATCTGCAGATATACCTAGAATCGACAGATCTCCTTGAGTTTGAGTCAGACTTAGTGCTTAACGAGCAATATCAATTCTTAAGAACTAGACTCTATAAGTTAACAAGCGTAAAGATAAAGGTCCCTGTACAAGGGGACCGAATGATCTATTGAATCTACAGCACTAAGTTCTTAAGAGTAGCTACCTCAGGGAGGTGCTGCTAACTCTTAGCGATCTACGATCAGAGACGCCTCGCAAGGCACGTGTCTCAGACAAGATCGAAAGGGGAACTGAACATATTTTATGTTCAACTGTCGAATTATTTGATTCTAATATTACCTAATTTAGCTACTTGTGTCCTAAACTTATATCTTTTATAGATTTCTTCAGGGACCGAGTACCCTACGATGTGTAACCCATTTACTTGAACTAAGTGAGCCGGTTACTCTTAAACGTTCCAACACGCTATGTATGCTACACAACAATTGTCAGCCTGACGACTTACGCGTAATAGGTATGTTTGAGTTGCTTGGTAGCAGGTTGCAGCGTGTCCAAATTTGGTATCCGTTAGTCCGTGTAAACGATCCCAAACTTAAGACGGGGCTGCTGCTCGCTGGCAAGAATTCAAGCAGATGATGGCATCGAATTGCTACGACTGGTTTCAAAGCTCTAATAGGCAAAACACAAGACAGAAAAAAGCAGTGCTCGAATAAATAGTTTCGCTACTTTCCAAGAATCCCAACGATGCTGGAGATGGGCATCAAATACTTTTTCATGTTACCAGGCTCGTTTTGTTCTGGAAAAAGCTTAAATAGTTGGGAAAGAGAGGAAAAGCGATTTCATCGGCATCGTACCACAATTCAACCCGACTATACACAGGATTCATGTGACTCTGTCTAGTTATGACGATGACACCTCGCCGCACCGTACACAAGTCAGAGTTAGAATGGGGTATCCCGTTCCATAATATTGACACGAAACGGTGTCAACAGGGATATTGTCTAGCGTGACAATATTCTACCAGTATTATCCGAGATGGATAATGTTTAAGGAATATTATTCCCTTTTTAGGATGATGTTCATGCGCTACTCAAAGATTGGTTAATAAAGACACATCAACCATAGATTGCCACCAATCGCTGCTAGACGCGCGCAATGAGTGGTGAGCAGGTTGTCGTCATTCCACAACGTAGATTAACATAGTTAGATAAAGACTAAGGTTACATTGATAGCTTCACTGTATTGCTTACAGTAATTTTTTTGTCCTTTACACAAACGATCTGTTTAAGTAGATTAGCTTCCTCTGCACGTACTAGTGTACGTGAAGTTTCGCGGCACCCCAAACAAAGGGTGCCCCGTTACACCTGGTAGCACTTTGTAGTCCGTCCAACGACTGCTTAGTGTCCGTCCAACATGAACGTGTTGGACGTAGAAGATGACAGCTTTCACGTCACACGTGGAGGCTACTCCAACTGAGTGACTCAGAGTGGGAGGTAGTCGGCCGCATGAGTGTACTCATGGGCGAACCCGCCATCAGTAGTATGTTTGAGTCTCTAAGCAGAGACCAGCAACACGCTGCTATCAACAAGTTCCTACAAGGGAACTTGCCGACGAACGACAGAAGATAGCCTTGCTACAGCAGCAAAAGCCTCATTAGTCGATGGGCGGGCCGACGCACATGCATCGACCCGAAACCTTGAAGATTGATATCCCAAGGTAAAAGGGAACCGATGAAACGTTTCCTTTTGAGATGGTTAGTCGCGTTAGACGATGCCATTGGGGCCCGTCACATCGATGGTGAAGAGATGCAAGTCACCTTCGTTCTGTCAAATTCGACGGGACGAGCAAATACTTGGGCCTTAGGGCTCAAGCTTCACGACCCAAACGTGTTTGATTCGTTGGAGATCTTGAAGTCTTGGCTCAGAGACACGTTTAAGCCGCCGAGAGCTGAGTTCAGAGCACGCTCTGCTCTCCTGAGGCTCAAGCAAGGTAAGAGTGATGTGCACGCTTACGCACAACATCTACGCTACCTGCGAGTAGTGTCACGGAAAACCCTGTTGATGAGCACGCTCATCAACGTGTTCATCTATGGCCTTGTGGATGGTCCGGTCAAGACCTACATGTTCCTAGAGGACTTCCATACTCTGAAAAAGGTGATAGCGTATGCGGAACAAGAAGACTTCAGCCTGAGACAGTCTTAAGATAATCTCGTCAAACTATCGTCCGAAGAGACGACAGGAAACAGGAGGTCCCGAACCAATAGACCATTGTTACATCGAGAGCGAGAACTCGCGCTCTCTGAGTCACAAGCGAACGGTAAGATGCCATCGCTGTCAGAAGTTTGGACACTTCGCTCATGAGTGTAGTGTCCCGAGCACTGCAACACGTCCAAATACAGGACGTGATGACCACCGTTGGCCAAGGAAAGGTACAAGGCGTGGTTCCGACCATGTCGCCAAGCCGCGACAGCAAGTCGGACCGTCAAATAACGGACATGATCAGTAGGGCGGAGCACCCTGCTGATCCAGCAACGTCAAGAGAATTTGCAGGACTCTTGACGAAGATTGCTCCTAGCACACAGTCGCTGTGCGTTTCTTCCCCTAGTGATGAGAAGTCTCTCATCACTTTGAAGATCAAAGTGACAAGTGGAATATCACTTCGCACCCTAGATGACTGTGGTGCGTCGAACAGTTTCATTCGACGCCAGTCGGTAAGGGATAGTTTTTCTCAATTATGTTGAGCAAGAGTTCCATCCAACGAGGATGACGGTGTGCCTTTCTACAGGCGCATCCGTAACAGTGAACAAACGTGTAGTGGGAATTTACTACACGCTAAAAGGGAAGCAGGACGATGGTAACTTCATCGTATTAGATGTGATTTGGATGACAAATTTGATGTCATCCTTGGCCTGACATGGCTTAGGAAGTACCAGCCATGGGTTAGCTGGCAGCATCGATCCGTGAAGATGCCTGCCGTTTGTTCATTGGATGGCCATCTGATGAGCGTCTTGTAGCGTCCACAAGCGTGTGGATGTACTACGAGTAAGTGCGATGGCCTCACTTGTGGTACGGTCGTCAGTACGATTGCACAAGATCACAGTGTAGAAGGCCACTACACTGTGGAACCAGCTTCCGGAACCTGTGTAGAGACACAGGCTGCTCCGAAGGTTCACCACTCGAAGATATCGAGTGGACTGGAATACGGATTCACACCAAGAATGGTGCATCCGAGAAGAAAAATTAGTGTTGTTCAGGATTAACAACACGTTATGGTTAGATCGACTGTCAGAGAGTCGACCGAGCAAGCTTGACCGACTGAAAGAGAGTCGATCGAAGAGGACGTGACTGTGGTAGTACACCCACAGTCAGTACACGCAATGAAAGAAAGTTCCAGCGTTCCTGAGAGCTATAATTCCTGAGAGATCTATGTTGAGGGTGTGGAGCCCCAACCACCTGCGGATGTGTTTTTCCAGGAAATCACCGAGTCAGTGAATGTCTTGATGAATGACGGATCAAGTGTAGGCGCTTATACACTTGATCCGGTTACACCTTCGAAGTCATATTCGGACACAGTCAAGTCGCCCACGCTAGAATCTAAAAGGTTCTTGCGAGATCTGCGTAGTGAAAAGATCAAGCAGATCTGCTTACTCGTCACAGAGGACGAGTACGTCGCCAATATTCGGTCAGCAACAGTATTCACTGAGAACGAGAGAGTTCTCAGTAGTTCATCTATGGACGAGAGTGTCCTCAATGAGAAGACTCGGATTGAGCGATAAACCCCTCAATCATGGGAGTCTTTGAAGACAAATTCTTTGTATAAGGATTTGGAATTCAGGGATGCTTTCCCGAAATCCGTGCCATGCGAGCTGCCCAAGGAGAAAGGCACTCGGCATGAGATCGAACAGAAACCCGGTTCGAAATACTGTGTCATGAAGCAGTGGCTACTGCCTCGTGAACAAGTACTCGCGATCGACAAGTTCTTTGCCGATCGTTTAGCTGCGGGCCATGTGAGGGAATCAACACCCTTACACATCTCTCCGACCTTCTGTGTGCGAAAGGCCACAGGAGGGTGGCGGATAGTGCACGCGTTCAACGAATTGAACGCTGAAACGTAATCGGCTTAAACGCCGATACCAAGATAGGATGTCATCATAGATGGCATGGCAAAAAGTGCCATCTTTTCGTCCATGGATCTGATGGATGGCTTCTATCAGATCCTCATGCGTGAACGGAACATCCCGTACACAGCAGTGAGCACTCCCAGTGGTATGCTCTGGGAGTGACTAGTGATGCCACAGGGGATAAGTAACGCCCCTGCAACGTTCAACAGAAGTGTTACGAATCTATTGCGTTTGGTTCACGACTTTGCACCGCGTAACTTCAACGATGTGTTTGTCCATAGTCGGGCTATGGATGGAAAGTCGGATGTTGAGGTTCACAGGTACCACGTCCGGAAGGTTCTTACACTTATGCGAGAGCATAAGTTGTTCGCGAAACTCAAGAAGTGTATGTTCGCGAACAAAACACCACTTCTTGGTTGCATCGTGAGTAAAAACGGTGTGCGCCCTGATCCGAAAAAGATTAAGGCGATTAGCGACTGTCCTGTGCCAGTCGACGTCAAGGGACTTCGAAAATTCCTTGGCTTGGTGGCGTACTTGCACAAGTTTTTGCGCAACTACGCCGAGATCACCGTACATCTCTCTCGTCTGCTGAAGAAAAACGAGAGGTGGTCATGGAGCGCTGAGTGTCAGCACACTTTTAAAAGGCATAAAAAAAGCTAGATACAATCGCCTGTGTTGGCGATTGCAGACCGAGATAGACCATTCCATGTGATCTGTGACGCCAACAATTTTGCAATCGGCTGAGCGTAATTACCCGGTGCATGAAGAGAAACAACTTGCCATGAGATATTTACTAACGAAGTTTCGGGTATGTCTTTTAGGAGATAGGCCCTTCATCGTTTATGCCAACCATGCGTCGTTACGCACGGCCGTAAACAGTTCATACCTCTAGCAATCAATAGCGAGGTGGTCGTCATTCTTCGCGGAGTACAACTTTTCCGTCGAGTATAAACCAGGACGACTTAATGTCGTCGCTGATGCTCTTTCGAGTCAGCTCGATTTCGATCCGACTGCTCAACCCATCAGTAGGGGTGATCCCACTGTAGCGACACTAACAGTCAGTGTTCCGTCGTCGAATCTGCTCGACGACGTGCGGAAAGCATACACAGAAGATGAATCTTTTCTGCGATTGATGGATTACGTATCCAATCCTTGTAATCAAGCTTTATAAAGCTTGTCATCTCAACACCGCTCTTCAATCGAACGGTATTCGGTTCGCGATGGACTGCTGTACTATACAGCAGTCAACGGTGACACACCTCGTGTCGTCGTTCCTGCTCATAATATTTTACGATTGTGAATCAAGTATGAGTATCACGATGCCCCAACAAGTGGGCATCGAGGTATGGAATAGACTTACCTCATGGTAAGTCGTGACTTCTACTGGCCCCGCCAGTATGAGTTTGTGCGCAAATACATTCGCGCTTGCGAAGTTTGTCAGTGGGTGAAGCCTTGTCCTTCATCCCTCGCACCCTTACAGCCTCTTCCGATCCGGCAGATTGCTGGCAGTTCGTATCGATGGACTTCGTCTTCGGGTTTCCCAAATATGCCCACACGAATACTGGTATATTTGTGTGTGTTGATCGGTCCAGCAAGACGGTACATCTTGTCGATGTACCGGAGTCAATCACAGCCCAGGGCTGTGCGTGCGTCTTCATCGATACTATCTCCCGACTTCACGGGTTACCCCGTGAACTCGTGTCTTATAGAGACCTTCGCTTCACGGCATGCTTATGGCAATGCGTGTTCCGGTCACTTGGAACACGCTCAACGATGCCAACTGCTGATCATCCAGAAACAGATGGTCAAACGGAACGCGTCAACCGCGTCTTCGAAGCGATACATCGAGGGTATGTCTTCTCGTTTACGAGCTGGAGTGAGTTCTTGCCGATGGCGGAATTTGCCATTAACAACTCGGTGCACGCGTAGACAACGCATACGCAGTTTTTCGAGAATGGCCTACGCCATCCACGTTTACCCGCCTATTTAAAGTGTGACTCTAGTTTTGGGGGGGGTGGATCGCTCGAACAAAAAACGATCTGTTTCTTGCTCATCACTCGTCGACAATGGTGTCGACGTGATGGATGCCGATGTCGATGCGATCGACATCAATGATGATGATGAAGACGATGCTGGTATATTCAGCATCGCCAATGACTGCCACATGAGTACGATTATGCCCTCACTGGTGAAGACAACGTTTTTTCAGCAGTGCACACGAAGCGAACTGCTGTTGACAAGGATGAATCAGCAGAGGAAAATCTGGTGACTCGCGTAGCGGTTGTCCGCTTCGTTCAAGACTCTATTGCAGATGCAATAGACCAGCAGAAAATAAATGCAGACAAACATGGAAGAGCAAATGTTCTTTCACTTGATGAAAGAGACCTAGTTTTACTGTCTACAGTAAACTCACCGAAACACGCAGTGACAAACGTGGGCGGCAGTACATTACTGCCCAGGCACATCGGTCCATTTCGTGTGTTGCGCCGAATGGGCAACGCATACACGATTGAACTGCCCCGTAAGATGAGTACGCATCCTACGATTAACGTTGGACGTCTCCGCCCGTACTATCAGTACGAGCCCGTATCGAGATGCGAAGAACACCTCCACGATCGATAGCCGAGACCATCTTCGAGTGGCCCGTTTCAGCGAACCATTCTGGTCGACTAGCGAAGCGACCTGCTAACGCAGTTGAGCGATGTCTTGACGAGCTGCAGCCAGCTCGTCACAATAGAACGAGTCGAGCTTTCAGTCTTAAGGTGCGCGAACGCAAAAGCTGCACGTTCGTCCGAACGAATGTGCGTTAGATAATTCTAATTAGCCATTACAAGATCCTCAATCCCATAACGCCAAGTTCGTTCGTGAGCCAGGTCATCTTGCAAATGTTCCGTCAGACAGTTCACTCCTGAACATCAAGCTGATATGATCCTCGAGCCGGTTCAGGTGTTCCCGCCGCTACCACATCTTTTGGTGGACTCAAGCGGTGGTCAACGATTCCTGGTGGAGCGTGTTTTGAACCACCGTGACGTTAATGGCGTCCGTACGAGCTACCTCGTCTGCTGGCGTGGCTGTCTACCGGCCTAGGACAGCTGGGACCCTTGTGCACAGCCAATTGTTTATTTCCTTGTTTTTTCAAGTAATACGACGAGACCCACCCGCTGCGTTCGAAGAAGGGCCGTCGGAAAACGACCTCCCCGAACGCGAGCATAGGGTTTGCAAAGTGTCAATCCTTCGGCCATCTCAGCATAGATGTGCGTCTTCAAGTTGGAAATATTAAGGAAGTAGACCTGTCTAAGGGAACGAATAGCATTGTCCAGGCAGCCTGGGCTTGGATCACCCCACGAGAGACAGGGTATCCCTGCCTTTCTTGACAGGCGGTGCTACTTGTATTGCACAGCGGCTAGGTTACGCTATTTATACCTGATACGAGCTGCATCAATATTACAGATCCAGGCCTCACGGCCAATGCACTTCAAGGTTTGGGTGGAGGCATTTTTGCATCCATGCCTTACCATCTCGGCACAGTTGCCGTTGTACCACCGTTGTTTAAAGAACAAGTCGGTGAAGAAACCTTCTTCAACACGAATATTTTCCGTGCTGGAGTTTGGAGTACAGATCCTCTTACAGTCGAACAACGAGATACGATCCCGTTCGGTGGTCATACCGACCACTCGTTTAACTCCTTTGAGTGATGGCACCCAAGAAGACTCCACTTGAGAAGCATGGCGCAGGACTCTTCGGTCCCTGGTCTCTTGAGTGGTGTCAGCATGAGCACTGACACCAATAGCAGCCCGATGCCTCAAGTTGCTTCTCTCGTGGTGACGTATAGGTGCGTTACCACCACCACCACGCGTCTTATTGTCGGATGGACTTGCGTGAACGAGGATTCGTCGGAAGACTCGCTCAGTCCGAAAACCACGGACATGATGCCGCCACGTTCCCCAGAGCCAGTCAACCTGGATATTGCGGTGTCCGCCCCTGATGATCCGGAGACGGGAGGTGTCACCTTCGAGTCGGATGCATCATTTGACTCGCCAGAATAGATGAGCTCTATCTCGGACACGTCTTGATTACGACTCGTGGTACCCGCTGCAGACGCAACGGATGTACCTGTCGCACGTGGTGACTCACCACGTGGACTGTTCACAACAACAGGTGACGAATCACCTGCTGCTGAGGCGTGAGAAGTACTTTCTTCGGTTGAATGCATGCGTGCAGCCGCCTTTTTTGCTGCTGCGGTAGCAACTCGCGTGGGTTCCTAAATCATGCGTCGGATTGGCAAATGAATGGAATTTACCAACAAGTGCTCCATTTCCCTGAGTGTTCCAACGGTGGTCACCCCGTACCAATCAGTTACAGATTTACACAACTGGTGATTTGTTGTTAAGGATGGATGATGGAACAGGGTAGCCCATTACATGATATTAACATCAAACGGTGTCAACAGGGATATTGTCTAGCGTGACAATATTCTACGAACATTATCAGAGATGGATAATGTTTAAGGAATATTATTCCCTTTTTAGGATGATATTCATGCGCTACTCAAAGATTTGTTAATAAAGACATAGCAACCATAGATTGCCACCAATCGCTGCTAGACGCGCGCAATGAGTGGTGAGCAGGTTGTCGTCATTCCACAACGTAGATTAACGTAGTTAGATAAAGACTAAGGTTACATTGTTAGCTTAACTGTATTATATACAGTTCTCATCTAACCCTTTACTCAAACTAGCAGCTTGAGTAAATTAGATGCATCAGTACGCACTATTGTATGTGAAGTTTCATGGCACCCTTAAAGGGGGCCCCGTTCCAGGAGTCGTACCAGAAGGAGACGCATGGCTAAAAGCTAAATAAGGCTTTAGAGCTAATAAAGTCCTAATGAGGAGAGGAAAAATGCTTACACACGTTAACGCCCCTTTAAATAAACATTGTAAGGAAAACTAGTGGAGAACGAAATTGTAACTGGGCACCCTGAAGCCTGTACTGATGACAGTACAAGCTACTTATTCTGATGACAGAATAAGGCGGTGCCTCGTAACTTCACGTACACTGGTACGTGCAGAGGAAGACGGTTAGAAGAAGCGAGTACTTAGTTACAGTAAAAAGTAGAACTGTATTTATCATAGTTAATGTCTGTTAATAAACCACTATTTATCTTCATCTAACTATGTCTAAATACAAATGTGTAAATTGATTATCTGCTCACCACTCATTGCGTGCGTCTGTCGTGGCGCGTCTTCGTTGGTTGATGTAGTGGTCTATATCAGCCAATTAGGAACTACTCGTAAGTGCTACAGAACATTTGTCCTTATGACAATATTCTGAGAATATAACTCTTATAGTTATGTTCTATTAACAATTTCTTATAAATTGTTATGTAACGATTCTCCCCGTTACATCACCCCCCTTAACCATTAGTTACTTTAGTGACTATTTGACTAAATGGATACTCGTCCCAAATCATTTGGACAGGGTTTGCACTTGTTGGCCCGAGTCCATTTTCCAACAATTCATCGCATGATTAACAAGCCCATGCGGTGCGCGAGCAAGGCCGCTGAGAGCGCGTCTGCACGTCTATTTGCAGACGCCGAAGCAGAATCCGCAGCAACCGATGTGTCATCGGTTGCTGAAGCGACTCAGCCTGTGTCACCTGGTGATGCAGGCGCTCGTCATGAAGACACTCGTGTCTTCACAGAGTATGAGCTCGGTGTCTCATACTCTCCTGATACGTAAGAGGGATCCGTATCGAAGGCGGTTGAACCAAGCCGCCTGCCAAGCGTGACATGGATGTTGTTATGCGTCGTAGCATCTCTGAATCTGATCATCGCCAAAGCGAAGGCACTCGAGTTTGCAAGACTCGGGCGCTCATAGTGGTGTCGGTTCTCCTATGGACACCACTTCGCAACGAGGTGCCAGTACTTCTGTCGGCACATCGCAGGAAGAGCGGGACCGCAGTGTGTTGCGTCTCGCTCCCGAGAAGAAGGCATGGATGCCTCCTAAATCTGTCATGGATCACTTGTCGGCGACGACGAGTGATCGTTATCGAACACGGTTGTTCGATTCGTCAAGGATCCATCACCTTGACCCCAGCGCGAAAGACTATCACACTGAGCATGAATTCTTCATCGATGCTTTCTTTAGACACCGATGATACAGTGGGAATCACAAACGTGATGGTCCCTCACTGCTTCAAGCGTGGAACGCCTACATCCATAACCTTGAGGATGTAGGTCGTGACGCTTGGAACGACAAACTTATCAAAGCTCGTGATAAGTTTGAAAAGCGAATTCCCGACAGGTGCACGCTACAAGCTGCATCGTCTGTCAAGGATGAAAGGATTACCCTGCCTCTCTTGGGGAGACTCGTGCCCATGTTGTGTGAACAACTCTGCACGAGCACCTAAGGAGGATTACCTCCTTACCAGCCCGTGGTGGCGCGTACGTATCTCTATTGAGATGTACGAAGGGATTGACAACTTGAAATCCCTTTACGACCGTGCCGGGAAGACTTTCTCCGGCGGTCCTTCTGCAGTACAGGATGTGCCGCGTCGTACGGCTCGACCGGACCCAGTACGTCAATCACCAATTGGGAGCGGGGCTCCCAAGTATCCCAAGACGGGTGATAACCGCGCCACCGGACGAGGTAACTCGTCCAACGTCCGTTCACATCGCGGTGGTTCAACAGCCGCTCAATCAGATAGCGCTGGCCACCGCGAGAGTCCTCTAATGGAGGTGGAGGAGGCCAAAGGAAGACGCTCTCCAAGCTATCGTGGGGGAGCGTGTGTTCCCGAGAGCTTCTTTGATCGCGTAACTCTTGCGTTACGCGGCGATCTCGAGCATGAGCGGGACAGGCGTCTCCACCTGGCGGACACTGTCTCGAAGCATCGAGCTGAGTTTGCCTTTGCTCAGCTTGAGAACAAGAGAGCTCTGACATCTCTGCGTGACGAGCTAAGGGTAGCTCGTGTGGATATTGACCGGTCTCGGGCTGAGATAACTGCTCTTCAGACCCTTGTCGATGGCCACCATCGGGAGCACAATGCTCTTTGTGAGATGCTTGAGAGCAAGGGCGTTCTTCATCGGAAGAAGCAGCGTACTGATGGTACGGCTTAAGCCGACCAACGTAAAACGTGGGATGCGCTCGCATCTTACGTGGTAGCTCGATCGTGTATGCGCTGCCTAGGCGATGCAATACACGAAATGAGCCGATGTACTTGGGTAGTAGTTTACTGCTACCCAAGTTAGTCACTACATGCTTTGGTAGATTAACCGTAGACAGTAGGACTAAGTCACCTTGATTAAATAAAAGAGTGTTTGCCCTTCCATTCTTATCAGCGTTTTGCTTTTGCTTATCCACCGCTTCGGCGATGGAGTCTTGCACAAAACGGACTACCGTTTCACGAGCCAGTATGAACTCATCTGATGACTCGTCAGCTTCAGTCCGCTGTGAGCGCACTGCAGCAACATCAACCTTTTCTTCAGTGAGGGCTTCCGCACTCTCACTGGCATCATCTTCTTCAATATAGATGCTATCGATATCGGCATCAAACGCAATGACTTCTTCTTCAGAGCGTGATGAGCGTGAACCAAATCGGTTTTTGCTCGCTCGAGTCTCTCCCCCCCTTAAACCAGAGTTACACTCGAGTAAGGTGGGTACACGCGGATTGCGCAAGCCATTCACGTAAAACGGTGTGTGTGTCGTGGACGCATGCACCGAGTTGTTAATGGCAAACTCTACCATTGGCAAAAACTCACTCCAACTCTCAAAGGAGTGTACGTATCCTCGAAGTATCTATTCTAGGACACAATTGGCTCGTTCCGTCTGACCATCTGACTCTGGATGATCAGATGTCTACATCTTCAAGCGCGTTCCGAGTGATTTGAACACGGAGCGCCAGAAATCAGCAGTGAATCGTGGATCTCTGTCTGATGCGAGTTCACGGGGCAACCCATGAAGTCGGAAGATGGTGTCAATAAAGACACAAGCACAGCCACTTGCTGTGATTGTCTCTGGTACAGCCACAAGGTGTACCATTTTGCTGAATCTGTCAACAAATACGAGAATACCCGTATTCCCGCGTGCGTCTTTGGGCAACCCGAAGACAAAATCCATTGAGATGGATTCCCAGCACTCAGCCGGAACCTGTAGAGGCTGTAAAGGTGCTTGCAGTGAAGGACTTGACTTCACTCGTTGACAGACTTCGCATGCGCGAACATACTTGCGCACAAACTGATACTGGCGGGGCCAGTAAAAGTCTCGACTCACCGTGAGATATGTTTTCTCTCGGCCACGATGTCCTCCTATAGGAGAATCGTGATACTCGAACATGATCCGCAAACGCAGATCAGTATCATCTGGAATGACAACACGTGGTGTGTCACCAGTAACGGCTGTATAATACAGTAAACCGTTACGAGTAGTGTATCGATCTGATGCAGATCGATACGCAGACGATAATCGTTTCGACGATTCTCGAGATGGTTGGGAGAGATGTGTCAACAACTTCACAATCTCACCATCTTGGGCGTATGCCCGCCTCACATCATCATACAACGTTGTAGATGGGACTGAGGACGTCATAACCGCAACAGTGACTGTCCCACTGTTGGGTTTCACGACTGTTTCAAAGTCGGGACGACGTGAGAGTGCATTAGCGACGACATTAAGTCGTCCTGGTTTGTACTCGACCGTAAAGTTGTATTCCGCAAAGAATGACAACCACCGCGCCATTCGTTGTGAAAGGTGCGGGCTGTTCACTGCCGTGCGTAATGATGCATGGTCAGTGTAAACAATGAAGGGTGTATCTCCTAATAAATAGACTCGGAACTTCGCGAGTGCATACTTCATGGCAAGGAGTTCCTTGTCATGCACTGGATAGTTCCGCTCAGCTAGTTGCAGCTGACGTGACTGATAGCAGACGACGCGTTCAACGCCTTCAAGATCGTACTGCATTAATGCACAGCCGATTGCAAAATCGCTGGCATCACAGACCACATGAAATGGCCTGTCCTGATCGGCTATTGCTAGGACTGGGGATTGTATCAAGCTCTGCTTGATACCATCAAAGGAGCGCTGACATTCAGCGTTCCATAACCACCTCTCGTTCTTTTTCAACAAACGAGAGAGGTGCACAGTCATCTCGGCGCAATTGCGTGAATACTTGTGCAAGTACGCCGCTAGCCCAAGGAATTTTCGAAGACCTTTGACATCAACCGGCACAGGCCAGTTGGTGATCGCCTTGATCTTTTCGGGATCAGGACGTACTCCGTTCTTACCAACGATGCACCCAAGAAGTGGTATTTCGCTTGCTGCAAATATACACTTCTTGAGGTTTGCATACAATTGATGCTTTCGCATGATTGTAAGAACCTGTCGGACGTGGTACCTGTGGACCTCAACGTCCGACTTTCCATCCATAGCTCGACTATGGATGAATACGTCATCGAAATAACTCGGCGCGAATTCTCGTACTGGTCTCAACAGATGTGATACACATCTGTTGAAAGTGGCAGGAGCATTACTAAGCCCTTGTGGCATTACTAGCCATTCCCAGAGCATGCCGCTAGGCGTGCTAACTGCGGTATAGGGTATGTCCCGTTCTCGCATAAGGATTTGATAGAAGCCATCCATCAAATCCATGGACGAAAAGATGGTACTCTTTGACATACCATCAATGATTACGTCCTTCCTCGGTATCGGCGTCTGAGCCGGTACCGTTGCAGCGTTCAATTTGTTGAACACGTGCACTATCCGCCACCCTCCTGTTGCTTTTCGCACACAGAAGGTCGGAGAGCTATGTGGGGAAGTTGATTCCCTCACATGGCCCGCAGCTAAACGATCGGCAAAGAACTTGTCGATCGCAAGTACTTGTTCACGAGGCAGTGGCCACTGCTTCATGACACAGTACTTCGAGCCTGGTTCAAGCTCGACCTCGTGTCGAATACCTTTATCCTTCGGTAATTCGCACGGAACAGTTTCAGGGAATACATCCTTGAATTCAACCAAATCTTCATAGAGAGGATTTGTCTTGAGCGATTCCCATGATTGGGAGTCATATCGCTCAACTCGTGTCTTTTCATCTAGGACGCTCTCGTCCTTAGATGAACTACTGAGAACTCTCTTGTTCTCAGTGAACACTGTTGCTGACCTTATGTCGGCTACACACTCGTCGTCAGCGACGAGTACGCAGATCTGCTTGACTTTGCCACTACGCAGATCACGCAAGAACCTTTTATGTTCGAGCGTTGGCAACTGAGTGATCTCCGAAGTTAACTTCGGAGGCGCAATCAGATCAAGTGTACAAGCGCCTACACTTGATCCGTCATTGACTAGGACATTCAATATCTTTGTCATTTCCTGGGGGGAAATTCCCTTAGGCCTCGAAGGACTTATTCTTTCGGCCTCCCGGGGACTTATTCCCGCGGGTTTCGGGGAACTTATTTCCGCCGTATTTGTAATATCGGGACTTATTCCCTTTACTTCCTCTAGCTGGGGTTGCGCAACCACAGCGAGATCCTCTACGAAAGACTCTCCAGTCGATCTAGGATTATCGTTTCGCTTAACCTGAGCGATCGATTGTTTCTCTTCTAGATGTTCCCCGCTAGGGATACATCTTTGTCCCAGTCCACCCGACTTATTCGAGTGGTGGACCTTCGGCGCAGCCTGTGTTTTCTCACAGCCGCCGGAACTTTGCTCCGAAGTGTAACTGTTTGTTATACTAAGGTTTTGTGCAGTCGTACTAACGACCGTACCACAAGTGAGGCCATCGCACTCACTCGTAGTACATCCACACGCTTGTGGACGCTCCAAAACGTTCATCAGATGGTCATCTGGTGAACAAGCGGCAGGCATCGTTACTATTCGATGGTTCCAGTTTACTCGTGGTTCGTACCTTCTGAGCCACGATATTCCAAGGATGACATCAAATTTGTCATCCAAATCCAATACGATGAAGTCATCGTCATATTGGGTATCTTCTAGCGTATAGTGGATCTTCACTATACGCTTCATGACGGTTACGGATGCGCCTGTCGCAAGACGTACCATCATCCTCGTAGGAGGTGTGTCACATTCACTGAATTTAAAGTGACCATCTTCTAGCGATTGGCGTCGCACAAAATTGTTGGACGCCCCCACAATCGACTAGAGCTCGAAGGGACAACTTATTCGTCACTTCGAGTTTCAAGGTAATGAGTGAGATCTCATTACCTAGAGCAGCAACGCACAACGTCTGTGTGTTGGGAGCAACCTTCATCAAGGGGCCTACAAATTCTCTTGACGTTGCTGGACCAGTAGGGTGCTCCGCACCTACTGATCCTGTCCGTTTTTTGACGGTCCATCCAGTTGTTGCGTCTTTGCACCAACAGCGGACCCTCGTCCCTGCCCCTTTCTCATGGGTGGACGGTCACTACGCCCAGTGTTGCGAGACACTAGACGAGGGGCACTACACTCGTAAGCGTAGTGTCCTGTCTTTTGACATCTGTTGCATCTCTGCAACTTCTTGTAGCCTGTAGAGCGAGCCTTCTCGCTCTCTACATAACAGAGTTCCATCGGCTCTGGACCTCCGTTGTCCTATCGTCTCGGTTGACGATATGATGTCGAGCTGGCGCGAGCCTGTCTCAGACTGAAGTCTTCCTGTTCCGCAATGGAAATTGCTTGTTCTAGTGAATCTAGTTCAAGTCGGAACAGGTGAGTCTTGACGGGACCATCCGCAAGACCCTGCATGAACACCGAAACCAACGTGTGTTCATCCACCGGATTGGAACTCATACAACTCGTGAGATGTCGTATATGTTGAGCGTAAGCGTGTACATCACGCTTACCCTGCTTGAGCTTCAAGAGTTCGGTTCGAGCTCTGAACTCAGCTCTAGGCGGTTCAAACGTTTGTCTGAGCCGCGACTTGAAGACTTCCAACGACCTAAACGCATATGAGTCGTGCAACTTGAGCCCCAGTGCCTAAGTCTTGGCACATCCTGCCAGATTTGACTGGGCAAATGCAACTTGCATATCCCCGTCGTCGATGCGACGCGCCCTTATGGCGTCATCTAATTCGACGAACCATCTCAAGAGGGAGTCCTCTTCGACTCCCCTATACTTGGAGATGTCAATCTTCAAGGTTTCGGGTCGACGCGAGTGCATCGACCCACCAGCAGCAGCCTGCTGCTGTCTCAACAGTGCAAACTGTTGAGCACCCTGTTCTCTCAACAACTCTGCTTGTTGAGAGCCTTGTTGGTGAAGCAAGGCTACTTTCTCGCGTTCAGCGTCATGTTCATTTTGAATGAACTTGGCGATAGTAGCATGTTGGGCATCTCTATTGAGAGCCTCTAGCATGACGCTAACAGCATGGATGCCCATGGTCGAACCCATCCGTTCAACCGCATCCCATTCGATATCGCTCAAATGGGAGTAGCCGTCACGCGTAGCGTGAAAGCTTTGTTTATCTTTATCATCTAACAAATTCATGTTAGATGTGAACGTGGTCCTTGGACGGACTACGAAGTGCTACCAGGTGTAACGGGGCACCCTGAAGCTTGTACTGATGACAGTACAAGCTACTTATTCTGATGACAGAATAAGGCGGTGCCTCGAAACTTCACGTACACTGGTACGTGCAGAGGAAGACGGTAAGAAGAAGCGAGTACTTGGTTACAGTAAAAAGTAGAACTGGATTTATAATAGTTAATGTCTGCAATAAATCACTATTTATCTTCATCTAACTATGTCTGAATACAAATGTGTAAATCAGTTATCTGCTCACCACTCATTGCGTGCGTCTGTCGTGGCGCGTCTTCGTTGGTTGATATAATGGCCTATCTCGAGCTACTTATTCCGATGACAGAATGAGGCGGTGCCTCGAAACTTCACGTACACTGGTACGTGCAGAGGAAGACGGTAAGAAGAAGCGAGTACTTGGTTACAGTACAAAGTAGAACTGTATTTATAATAGTTAATATCTGTTAATAAATCACTGTTTATCCTCATCTAACTATGTCTGAATACAAATGTGTATATCAACTATCTGCTCACCACCCATTGCGTGCGTCTGTCGTGGCACGTCTTCGTTGGTTGATACATTGGCCTATCTCGAGCTACTTATTCCGATGACAGAAGAAAAAAAAATAAGGCAGTGCCGCGTAACTTCACGTACACTGGTACGTGCAGAGGAAGACGGTAAGGAGAAGCGAGTACTTGGTTAAAGTAAAAGTAGAGCTGTATTTATAATAGTTAATGTCTGCAATAAATCACTATTTATCTTCATCTAACTATGTCTAAATACAAATGTGTAAATTGATTATCTTCTCACCACTCATGTGTGCGTCTGTCGTGGCGCGTCTTCGTTCGTTGATATAATGGCCCATATCTACCAATCAGGAACCACTCGTAAGTGCTGCAGAATGTTGTCCTTATGACAATATTCTGAGAATATAACTTTTTATAGTTTTTTTCTATTAACAATTTCTTATAAATTGTTATGTAACGATTCACCCCGTTACAACAACTGAACTATCATCTGCGTGCCTACCTGCGCTAGCTCACATCAAATTCCACTTCGCTACGTATGTCACGCTCCTTCTCTGGACCTTGGGCACAGGGTGCGGCGCTTATCCAAATGAATGTCATATCCCGTTTAACAAATGGTCACGAGTCAAGAGTCAGTGAAACGGGGTGAATCGTTACATAACAATTTATAACGATAGTTGATTGAACATAAATAAAAGAGTTATATTCTCAGAATATTGTCATAAGGACAAATATTCTGCAGCACTTACGAGTAGTTCCTAATTGGTTGATATAGGCCATTATATCAACCAACGAAGACGCGCCACGACAGACGCACGCAATGAGTGGTGAGCAGATAATTGATTTACACATTTGTATTCAGACATAGTTAGATGAAGATAAATAGTGATTTATTGCAGACATTAACTATTATAAATACAGTTCTACTTTTTACTTTAACCAAGTACTCGCTTCTTCTTACCGTCTTCCTCTGCACGTACGAGTGTACGTGAAGTTACGAGGCACCGCCTTATTCTGTCATCAGAATAAGTAGCTTGCACTGTCACCAGTACAAGCTTCAGGTTGCCCCGTTACACCTGGTAGCACTTCGTAGTCCGTCCAAGGACCACGTTCACATCTAACATGAATTTGTTAGATGATAAAGATAAACAAAGCTTTCACGCTACGCGTGACGGCTACTCCCATTTGAGCGATGTCGAATGGGATGCGGTTGAACGAATGGGTTCGACCATGGGCATCCATGCTGTTAGCGTCATGCTAGAGGCTCTCAATAGAGATGCCCAACATGCTACTATCGCTAAGTTCATTCAAAATGAACTTGACGCAGAACGCGAGAAAGTAGCCTTGCTTCACCAACAAGGCTCTCAACAAGCAGAGTTGTTGAGAGAACAGGGTGCTCAACAGTTTGCACTGTTGAGACAGCAGCAGGCTGCTGCTGGTGGGTCGATGCACTCGCGTCGACCCGAAACCTTGAAGATTGACATCTCCAAGTATAGGGGAGTCGAAGAGGACTCCCTCTTGAGATGGTTCGTCGAATTAGATGACGCCATAAGGGCGCGTCGCATCGACGACGGGGATATGCAAGTTGCATTTGCCCAGTCAAATCTGGCAGGATGTGCCAAGACTTAGGCACTGGGGCTCAAGTTGCACGACTCATATGCGTTTGGGTCGTTGGAAGTCTTCAAGTCGCGGCTCAGACAAACGTTTGAACCGCCTAGAGCTGAGTTCAGAGCTCGAACTGAACTCTTGAAGCTCAAGCAGGGTAAGCGTGATGTACACGCTTACGCTCAACATATACGACACCCCTCACGAGTTGTATAAGTTCCAAACCGGTGGATGAACACACGTTGGTTTCGGTGTTCATGCAGGGTCTTGCGGATGGTCCCGTCAAGACTCACCTGTTCCGGCTTGAACTAGATTCACTAGAACAAGCCATATCCATTGCGGAACAGGAAGACTTCAGTCTGAGACAGGCTCGCGCCAGCTCGACATCATATCGTCAACCGAGACGATATGACTACGGAGGTCCAGAGCCGATGGAACTATGTTATGTAGAGAGCGAGAAGGCTCGCTCTACAGGCTACAAGAAGTTGCAGAGATGCAACAGATGTCAAAAGACAGGACACTACGCTTACGAGTGTAGTGCCCCTCGTCTAGTGTCTCGCAACACTGGGCGTAGTGACCGTCCACCCATGAGAAAGGGGCAGGGACGAGGGTCCGCTGTTGGTGCAAAGACGCAACAACTGGATGGACCGTCAAAAAACGGACAGGATCAGTAGGTGCGGAGCACCCTACTGGTCCAGCAACGTCAAGAGAATTTGTAGGCCCCTTGATGAAGGTTGCTCCCAACACACAGACGTTGTGCGTTGCTGCTCTAGGTAATGAGATCTCACTCATTACCTTGAAACTCGAAGTGACGAATAAGTTGTCCCTTCGAGCTCTAGTCGATTGTGGGGGCGTCCAACAATTTTGTGCGACGCCAATCGCTAGAAGATGGTCACTTTAAATTCAGTGAATGTGACACACCTCCTACGAGGATGATGGTACGTCTTGCGACAGGCGCATCCGTAACCGTCATGAAACGTATAGTGAAGATCCACTATACGCTAGAAGATACCCAATATGACGATGACTTCATCGTATTGGATTTGGATGACAAATTTGATGTCATCCTTGGAATACCGTGGCTCAGAAGGTACGAACCACGGGTAAACTGGCAACATCGAACAGTAACGATTCCTGCCGCTTGTTCATCAGATGGCCATCTGATGAACGTTTTAGAGCGTCCACAAGCGTGTGGATGTACTACGAGTGAGTGCGATGGCCTCACTTGTGGTACGGTCGTTAGTACGACTGCACAAAACCTTAGTATAACAAACAGTTACACTTCGGAGCAAAGTTCCGGCGGCTGTGAGAAAACACAGGCTGCGCCGAAGGTCCACCACTCGAATAAGTCGGGTGGACTGGGACAAAGATGTATCCCTAGCGGGGAACATCTAGAAGAGAAACAATCGATCGCTCAGGTTAAGCGAAACGATAATCCTAGATCGACTGGAGAGTCTTTCGTAGAGGATCTCGCTGTGGTTGCGCAACCCCAGCTAGAGGAAGTAAAGGGAATAAGTCCCGATATTACAAATACGGCGGAAATAAGTTCCCCGAAACCCGCGGGAATAAGTCCCCGGGAGGCCGAAAGAATAAGTCCTTCGAGGCCTAAGGGAATTTCCCCCAGGAAATGACAGAGATATTGAATGTCCTAGTCAATGACGGATCAAGTGTAGGCGCTTGTACACTTGATCTGATTGCGCCTCCGAAGTTGACTTCGGAGATCACTCAGTTGCCAACGCTCGACCACAAAAGGTTCTTGCGTGATCTGCGTAGTGGCAAAGTCAAGCAGATCTGCGTACTCGTCGCTGACGACGAGTGTGTAACCGACATAAGGTCAGCAACAGTGTTCACTGAGAACAAGAGAGTTCTCAGTAGTTCATCTAAGGACGAGAGCGTCCTGGATGAAAAGACACGAGTTGAGCGATATGACTCTCAATCATGGGAATCGCTCAAGACAAATCCTCTCTATGAAGATTTGGTTGAATTCAAGGATGTATTCCCTGAAACTGCTCCGTGCGAATTACCGAAGGATAAAGGTACTCGACACGAGGTCGAGCTTGAACCAGGCTCGAAGTACTGTGTCATGAAGCAGTGGCCACTGCCTCGTGAACAAGTACTTGCGATCGACAAGTTCTTTGCCGATCGTTTAGCTGCGGGCCATGTGAGGGAATCAACTTCCCCACATAGCTCTCCGACCTTCTGTGTGCGAAAAGCAACAGGAGGGTGGCGGATAGTGCACGTGTTCAACAAATTGAACGCTGCAACGGTACCGGCTCAGACGCCGATACCGAGGAAGGACGTAATCATTGATGGTATGTCAAAGAGTACCATCTTTTCGTCCATGGATTTGATGGATGGCTTCTATCAAATCCTTATGCGAGAACGGGACATACCCTATACCGCAGTTAGCACGCCTAGCGGCATGCTCTGGGAATGGCTAGTAATGCCACAAGGGCTTAGTAATGCTCCTGCCACTTTCAACAGATGTGTATCACATCTGTTGAGACCAGTACGAGAATTCGCGCCGAGTTATTTCGATGACGTATTCATCCATAGTCGAGCTATGGATGGAAAGTCGGACGTTGAGGTCCACAGGTACCACGTCCGACAGGTTCTTACAATCATGCGAAAGCATCAATTGTATGCAAACCTCAAGAAGTGTATATTTGCAGCAAGCGAAATACCACTTCTTGGGTGCATCGTTGGTAAGAACGGTGTACGTCCTGATCCCGAAAAGATCAAGGCGACCACCAACTGGCCTGTGCCGGTTGATGTCAAAGGTCTTCGAAAATTCCTTGGGCTAGCGGCGTACTTGCACAAGTATTCACGCAATTACGCCGAGATGACTGTGCACCTCTCTCGTTTGTTGAAAAAGAACGAGAGGTGGTTATGGAACGCTGAATGTCAGCGCTCCTTTGATGGTATCAAGCAGAGCTTGATACAATCCCCAGTCCTAGCAATAGCCGATCAGGACAGGCCATTTCATGTGGTCTGTGATGCCAGCGATTTCGCAATCGGCTGTGCATTAATGCAGTACGATCTGGAAGGCGTTGAACGCGTCGTCTGCTATCAGTCGCGTCAGCTGCAATTAGCTGAGCGGAACTATCCAGTGCATGACAAGGAACTCCTTGCCATGAAGTATGCACTCGCAAAGTTCAGAGTCTATTTATTAGGAGATACACCCTTCATTGTTTACACTGACCATGCATCATTACGCACGGCAGTGAACAGCCCGCACCTTTCACAACGAATGGCGCGGTGGTTGTCATTCTTTGCGGAATACAACTTTACGGTCGAGTACAAACCAGGACGACTTAATGTCGTCGCTGATGCACTCTCACCTCGTCCCGACTTTGAAACAGTCGCGAAACCCAACAGTGGGACAGTCACTGTTGCGGTTATGTCGTCCTCAGTCCCATCTACAACGTTGTATGATGATGTGAGGCGGGCATACGCCCAAGATGGTGAGATAGTGAAGTTGTTGACACATCTCTCCCAACCATCTCGAGAATCGTTGAAACGATTGTCGTCTGCGTATCGATCTGATGCAGATCGATACACTGCTCGTAACGGTTTACTATATTATACAGCCGTTACTGGTGACACACCACGTGTTGTCATTCCAGATGATACTGATCTGCGTTTGCGGATCATGTTCGAGTATCACGATGCTCCTATAGGAGGACATCGTGGCCGAGAGAAAACATATCTCACGGTAAGTCGAGACTTTTACTGGCCCCGCCAGTATCAGTTTGTGCTAAAGTATGTTCGCGCATGCGAAGTCTGCCAACGAGTGAAGTCAAGTCCTTCACTGCAAGCACCTTTACAGCCTCTACCGGTTCCGGCTGAGCGCTGGGAATCCATCTAGAATATCTCAATGGATTTCGTCTTCGGGTTACCCAAAGACGCACGCGGGAATACGGGTATTCTCGTATTTGTTGACAGATTCAGCAAAATGGTACACCTTGTGGCTGTACCAGAGAAAATCACGGCAAGTGGCTGTGCTTGTGTCTTTATTGACACCATCTTCCGACTTCATGGGTTGCCCCGTGAACTCGTATCAGACAGAGATCCACGATTCACTGCTGATTTCTGGCGCTCCGTGTTCAAATCACTCGGAACGCGCTTGAAGATGTCAACATCTGATCATCCAGAGTCAGATGGTCAGACGGAACGGGCCAATCGTGTCCTAGAATAGATACTTCGAGGATACGTACACTCCTTTAAGAGTTGGAGTGAGTTTTTGCCAATGGTAGAGTTTGCCATCAACAACTCGGTGCATGCGTCCACGACACACACACCGTTTTACGTGAATGGCTTGCGCAATCCGCGTGTACCCACCTTACTAGAGTGTAACTCTGGTTTAAGGGGGGGAGGGACTCGCGCGAGCAAAAACCGAATTGGTTCACGCTCATCACGCTCTGACGAAGAAGTCATTGCGTTTGATGCCGATATCGATAACATCGATATCGAAGAAGATGATGCCAGTTAGAGTGCGGAAGCCCTCACTGAAGAAGATGGTCCCAGTGAGAGTGCGGAAGCCCTCACTGAAGAAAAGGTTGATGTTTCTGCAGTACGCTCACAGCACACTGAAGCTAACGAGTCATCAGATGAGTTCATACTGGCTCGTGAAACGGTAGTCCGTTTTGTGCAAGACTCCATCGCCGAAGCGGTGGATAAGCAAAAGCAAAAACGCTGACAAGAATGGAAGGGCAAACACTCTTTTATTTAATCAAGGTGACTTAGTCCTACTGTCTACGGTTAATCTACCAAAGCATGTAGTGACTAACTTGGGTAGCAGTAAACTACTACCCAAGTACATCGGCCCATTTCGTGTATTGCATCGCCTAGGTAACGCATACACGACCGAACTGCCACGCAAGATGCGAACACATCCCACGTTTTACGTTGGTTGGCTTGAGCCGTACCATCAGTACGCTGTATCTTCCGATGAAGAACGCCCTTGAGCTCAAGCATCTCACAAAGAGCATTGTGCTCCCGATGGTGGCCATCGACAAGGGTCTGAAGAGCAGTTATCTCAGCCCGAGACCGGTCAATATCCACACGAGCTACCCTTAGCTCGTCACGCAGAGATGTCAGAGCTCTCTTGTTCTCAAGCTGAGCAAAGGCAAACTCAGCTCGATGCTTCGAGGCAGTGTCCGCCATTTGGAGACGCATGTATCGCTCATGCTCGAGGTCGCCGCGTAACGCAAGAGTTACGCGATCAAAGAAGCTCTCGGGTACACACCGATCCACATGATCGTGTGGAGAGCGTCTTTCCTCCTCCTCCACCTCCATTAGAGGACTCTCGCGGTGGCCAGCGCTATCTAGTTGAGCAGCTGTTGAACCACCGCGACGTGAACGGACGTCGGACGAGTTATCTCGTCCGGTGGCGCGGCTATCCCCCGTCCTGGGATTCTAGGGAGCCCCGCTCCCAACTGATGATCGACGTAATCGGTCTGGTTGAGCAGTACGACGCGGCACATCCTGTGCCGCAGAAGGACCGCCGGAGAAAGTCTTCCCGGCACGGTCGTAAAGGGATTTCAAGTTTTCTATCCCTTCGTACATCTCAATAGAGATACGTACGCGCCACCACGGGCTATTAAGGAGGTAAGCCTCCTTAGGTGCTCGTGCAGAGCTGTTCACACAACACGGGCACGAGTCTCCCCAAGAGAGGAAGGGTAATCCTTTCTCCCTTGACAGACGATGCAGCTTGTAGCGTGCACCTGTCGGGGTTCGCTTTTCAAACTTATCACGAGCTTTGATAAGTTTGTCGTTCCAAGCGTCACGACCTACATCCTCAAGGTTATGGATGTAGGCGTTCCACGCCTGAAGTAGTGAGGGACCATCACGTTTGTGATTCCCACTGTACCATCGATGTCTAAAGAAAGCATCGATGAAGAATTCATGTTCAGCGCGATAGTTTTTCGCGCTGGGGTCAAGGTGATGGATCCTTGACGAATCGAACAACCGTGTTCGATAACGATCACTCGTCGTCGCCGACAAGTGATCCATGACAGATTTTGGAGGCATCCAAGCCTTCTTCTCAGGAGCGAGACGCAACACATTGCGGTCCCGCTCTTCCTGCGACGTGCCGACAGAAGTACTGGCACCTCGCTGTGAAGTGGTGTCCATAGGAGAACCGACACCACTATTAGCGCCCGAGTCTCGCGACCTCGAGCGCCTTCGCTTTGGCGATGGTTCATCTGATTCGTCAGATGAACCAAAGATGCTGCGACGCAAAGCATCGTCCATGCCACGCTTGGCAGGCGGCTTAGATTCAATCGCCGTCGATACGGATCCGTCATCCGTATCAGGAGAGTACGAGACACCGAGCTCGTACTCTGTGAAGACACGAGTGTCTTCATGACCAGCGCCTGCATCACCAAGTGACACAGGCTGGGTCGCTTCAGCAACCGATGAGACATCAGTTGCTGTTGTTTCTGCTTCGGCGTCCGCACAGAGACGTGCAGACGCGCTCTCGGCGGCCTTGCTCGCGCATCGCATGGGCTTGTTTACCATGCTATGAGATGTTGGAAAGTGGACGCGGACCAACAAGTGCAAACCCTGTCCCAAATGATTTGGGACGAGTATCCATTTAGTCGATCAGTCACTAAAGTGACTGATGGTTAAGGGGGGGGTGATGTAACGGGGTGAATCGTTACATAACAATTCATAAGAAATTGTTAATAGAATATAACTATAAGAGTTATATTCTCAGAATATTGTCATAAGGACAACATTCTGCAGCACTTACGAGTAGTTCCTAATTGGTTGATATAGGCCATTATATCAACCAACGAAGACGCGCCACGACAGACGCACGCAATGAGTGGTGAGCAGATAATCAATTTACACATTTGTATTTAGACATAGTTAGATGAAGATAAATAGTGATTTATTGCAGACATTAACTATACTAAATACAGTTCTACTTTTTACTTTGACTAAGTTCTCGCTTCTTCTTACTGTCTTCCTCTGCACGTACCAGTGTACGTGTAGTTACGAGGCACCGCCTTATTCTGTCATCAGAATAAGTAGCTTGTACTGTCACCAGTACAAGCTTCAGGGTGCCCTGTTACAGTCAGTATCTAAACCTCGACAGCATCAACTGGCCTTCCACATTCTCTTGCTACCACATCAGCTCTCGAGACCCGATGACACCGTCGAAATTCGTCCAAAGACGCTTGAATTGGTCGAATGCGTAGTAATTGCCATTCTCACTTATCATTTGCCGCCAAAAACGAATTTTGCTCATTCAGTCACACCGAGTGCCAGGTCGACTGAGGTCAAAGGCTAGTACAACACCTACCAATACCATAGAGAGCGGGACGGGCGGGACAGGCGGGACAGGCGGGTCGATCTGCCACTTAATCGACTGATGAGTGACCGTTGATGCAGCGCTAGCATTTGAACACGGTCGCATACTTGGCAGATATAAATAACGACTTACACATACCGTGAATCTGAATCGTACTACTTCTATCTCGTGCGGGTTGGCAGGCGTTCATTTACGTGGATGTCAAAGTACGCAGCAGGGTTGTTTCTCGGCACTAAAGAAGTTTGAGATTGTCTAACAAAATTGTCAACCGCACAAATATTCTGGTATCGGGGTTTGCGCTCGTGTTTTACCAAACGTTTGAAACATGCCCGGATTTTTTCATGATGGCACGTGCATTTCTGTACCGAGTCTACTAATTACACTCGTACCATGGTGCACTCAATTGCATCATCAGCTTCAAAAGTTCGTACCACCCGGTCGTCAGCCGAAGGGTACGTGCAATTGAACAGGAGTGTGACCTTTGCTTTACGGCATAAATTTGTCGATTCTATCATTGTACGACAATCACAGGAGTCCAGCCCTGCTTCGGCACTTGAACTCGCATGCAGCCCATTATTTGATTCCATCGTTTGTACAAGGTGAGAGCAGACCTATGCCGCACTAATCGTGTCAAAAACGAGTCGTGAAAAACAAGACCTCAGAACGCATCCAGAAGGACCCCTGCGTTGATAAACAAAGTTATGTATTGGGTGAATAATCCATTCGAGAAGCCTTCGTCGGGGGAGAGATGTTCAGTACTGTGCATGTAACAGAGGCCACTTGCTCGCTCTGTTTCACGTACATGCCTCTGCTGTATTTCGTTTACACCTATCAGCTCATTTGGCTTCGATCGTTTCGATCGGAAGCGAAAGCACAACCGTTAGCACTACCCTGTTAAAGAATTGATCCATACTGATCGAAAGAAGTCAGCTAATTGTTGCTGCCGTAGTAGAAGGATGCGAGGGTGAGATACGGTCGAGCTAATGATTGTAGCAAGACCCAAAAGAGTAGCAAGGTACATTGTATGTAATACTGTCAAGCGTACCACCGGCGCAAAGTCTCGTGGCAGTCTCGAGGTCCAATGGGTGATCATGACATCCCTCTATCGACCGTTGCTGCTACTGTTGGCGAGCAGTCAATCTATTAAGGATCATTTGTTTATAATGATTCGGTGGGTAGGCACCGTAGCGCATACATCGATAGTATCGTTAGGCTTTTCCATTTTAACGCCAGGAAATGAACCAAAGATGACTTTCCTGTCGACATTGCGGCCACCGATGCAATGCGATCGAACGCAGGTACCAATTTGTCCCGTAGTTACGACAGTCATCGCTCGCGATTTCGAAACGGTGGTTCAAGCCGACTATGTTTCAAATGAAACGCGGGGACCGAAGCTCGGCCATGACCTTGTCTAGTGCGTTACGTGTAAATCACGTCAATCAAACTGCTTTGGCCAAAATTGTTTGGAAGATCGATAACATACGTCGTCGTGCCTTGCCTTCAACGGGCAACTGCATGGCTGGTCTTCCAGATAGCATTGCTCTGTGGTCTATGGTTGATTAGTTTTCACGGCAAACAGCATTCTCGCCATGCTCTCTGCATCGATCGTTATGTGATTTGCTGGAAACAGCAGTGGCTTGTACGCGGACGCCCTATCACATCAAGTATTTGTCGTATTGGCGTGTGCTGGGACAATTGTGTAGTGTCTTCTCTTCTTGCGTGCTTCGATCGGATACCATCGTCGTTTTACGAGGATCTGTATACACGTGGGCTGTCGATGCACCCTATTTTGCATTTGCGCCATGTCTGGGCTAAAGATTGCTGGTGACCAGGCCGCAGATGTAACGGGGCACCCTGAAGCTTGTACTGGTGACAGTACAAGCTACTTATTCTGATGACAGAATAAGGCGGTGCCTCGTAACTTCACGTACACTGGTACGTGCAGAGGAAGACGGTAAGAAGAAGCGAGTACTTGGTTAAAGTAAAAAGTAGAAGTGTATTTATAATAGTTAATGTCTGTTAATAAACCACTATTTATCTTCATCTAACTATGTCTAAATACAAATGTGTAAATTGATTATCTGCTCACCACTCATTGCGTGCGTCTGTCGTGGCGCGTCTTCGTTGGTTGATATAATGGCCTATATCAACCAATTAGGAACTACTCGTAAGTGCTACAGAATATTCGTCCTTATGACAATATTCTGAGAATATAACTCTTATAGTTATATTCTATTAACAATTTCTTATGAATTGTTATGTAACGATTCACCCCGTTACATCACCCCCCCTTAACCATCAGTCACTTTAGTGACTGATTGACTAAATGGATACTCGTCCCAAATCATTTGGGACAGGGTTTGCACTTGTTGGTCCGCGTCCACTTTTCAACATCTCATCGCATGGTTAACAAGCCCATGCGATGCGCGAGCAAGGCCGCCGAGAGCGCGTCTGCACGTCTCTGTGCGGACGCCGAAGCAGAAACAACAGCAACTGATGTCTCATCGGTTGCTGAAGCGACCCAGCCTGTGTCACTTGGTGATGCAGGCGCTGGTCATGAAGACACTCGTGTCTTCACAGAGTACGAGCTCGGTGTCTCGTACTCTCCTGATACGGATGACGGATCCGTATCGACGGCGATTGAATCTAAGCCGCCTGCCAAGCGTGGCATGGACGATGCTTTGCGTCGCAGCATCTTTGGTTCATCTGATTCATCAGATGAACCATCGCCGAAGCGAAGGCGCTCGAGGTCGCGAGACTCGGGCGCTAATAGTGGTGTCGGTTCTCCTATGGACACCACTTCACAGCGAGGTGCCAGTACTTCTGTCGGCACGTCGCAGGAAGAGCGGGACCGCAATGTGTTGCGTCTCGCTCCTGAGAAGAAGGCTTGGATGCCTCCAAAATCTGTCATGGATCACTTGTCGGCGACGACGAGTGATCGTTATCGAACACGGTTGTTCGATTCGTCAAGGATCCATCACCTTGACCCCAGCGCGAAAAACTATCGCGCTGAACATGAATTCTTCATCGATGCTTTCTTTAGACATCGATGGTACAGTGGGAATCACAAACGTGATGGTCCCTCACTACTTCAGGCGTGGAACGCCTACATCCATAACCTCGAGGATGTAGGTCGTGACGCTTGGAACGACAAACTTATCAAAGCTCGTGATAAGTTTGAAAAGCGAACCCCGACAGGTGCGCGCTACAAGCTGCATCGTCTGTCAAGGGAGAAAGGATTACCCTGCCTCTCTTGGGGAGACTCGTGCCCATGTTGTGTGAAAAACTCTGCACGAGCACCTAAGGAGGCTTACCTCCTTACCAGCCCGTGGTGGCGCGTACGTATCTCTATTGAGATGTACGAAGGGATTGACAACTTGAAATCCCTTTACGACCGTGCCGGGAAGACTTTCTCCGGCGGTCCTTCTGCGGCACAGGATGTGCCGCGTCGTACTGCTCAACCAGACCCAGTACGTCGATCATCAGTTGGGAGCGGGGCTCCCTAGAATCCCAGGACGGGGGATAGCCGCGCCACCGGACGAGATAACTCGTCCGACGTCCGTTCACGTCGCGGTGGTTCAACAGCTGCTCAACTAGATAGCGCTGGCCACCGCGAGAGTCCTCTAATGGAGGTGGAGGAGGAGGAAAGACGCTCTCCACACGATCATGTGGATCGGTGTGTACCCGAGAGCTTCTTTGATCGCGTAACTCTTGCGTTACGCGGCGACCTCGAGCATGAGCGATACATGCGTCTCCAACTGGCGGACACTGTCTCGAAGCATCGAGCTGAGTTTGCCTTTGCTCAGCTTGAGAACAAGAGAGCTCTGACATCTCTGCGTGACGAGCTAAGGGTAGCTCGTGTGGATATTGACCGGTCTCGGGCTGAGATAACTGCTCTTCAGACCCTTGTCGATGGCCACCATCGGGAGCACAATGCTCTTTGTGAGATGCTTGAGCTCAAGGGCGTTCTTCATCGGAAGATACAGCGTACTGATGGTACGGCTCAAGCCAACCAACGTAAAACGTGGGATGTGTTCGCATCTTGCGTGGCAGTTCGGTCGTGTATGCGTTACCTAGGCGATGCAATACACGAAATGGGCCGATGTACTTGGGTAGTAGTTTACTGCTACCCAAGTTAGTCACTACATGCTTTGGTAGATTAACCGTAGACAGTAGGACTAAGTCA